AACCTACTACAAAAATTCTATCAGGTTAGTAACCTATACACTAACCTAGTGCAATTTTCTACCAGGTTAGTGTATAGGTTAGTAACCTATTCCTCAAATCTATCAGGTTAGCGAACCCTGCACCACACCGACAGTTAGTCACGTGTCACGACCTGACTGCATCGACTCCACGTGACTCGACTGAACGCTCTGTACCGGTCGGCCATACCGGTAGAAAAGACTTAGTACTGGTACCAGGTATTAATTAAAGTACCGTTCCGGGTGCTGGTACCACTTCCGCAGTTCCGTGCTCGAGCAGGCGCAGAGTGCAGAGAATCTGATTGCCATGGGTACAACCTGCAAAGCTCCTCTAGCTAGCCAGTAGGCTGGCGAGGATTCTACCGGTATGAAAGCAGTGCTATGGAAGCAGTGCTATGAAAGAAGTGCTCAGCCAGCGAGCAACCTCGTCCTACACGCACATGCAATTCTCTTTCAATTTCAATGCATACCATTACCGGCACCAAAATCTAGCTCACAATGATCTATCAACGGCGTAAAGTCAATTTTCAATTTTCTTTTTCAGCCTTCGAATATCAGATTTTGAGAAAGTACCAGCACCTTGCTCAGGTTGACAGCCAAGCATTGAAAATAGGACAACAATTTCCAAACTAAATTGAGCATTTCAGATGCTTTCAGAGACGAAAATCAAGGAATAAATTTGGAACCAAGAAGTAGCTCAATCTACCTGGAAAAGGGACGTAACTGACCCAATGATAGCGTTCTTTCTCAACGTTTTTCAAGGTTTTCGCAATTTATTTCTTTTGTATCTAGCTAGCTAGAACGTAAAGGATCGGGACCTGAGAGAATTCGATCATTCAGAGCTCTTACACCACATAACATACAAGTCAAAAAAGATTTTTGTAGGCAACTGAAAAGAATGGTATCATCTGAAGTGATGCATGTGAGCTAATGGTGGAACTGTCGTCCATGAGCTCGTCTAAAAGCAACCATTTGCTCTCTTGCTGCAGTACCGACAGTTTCCTGTAGCTTTTGCTGTAGGGCTAAAGGTTCACTCCAACCCTAAACAAGATCTCGAACATTTAAAAATATACGTTCCCGAAGAAGATAAAAAGAGGCGAAAAACAATGCTGGCCGCGAGAGGATCGATCACATTTTGCTTCGCTTGCCTCACAACACAACTCACAACGAGGGAGTTCACTTCTCTTGTCTCTCGCTTTCGCTCTTTCTTCTCGACTAGACTTTTCATCATCACCATGAACACTGGATATAACAACAACAACCACAATGCTGGTGGAGCCGACGCGGCTGCCGGGTTTCGCGGCCCTTTAGGTGGTGGCGCGGCTGCGATGGGAGTTCCTTCTGGTGGCGGTGGCGCGGCTGCGATGGGAGTCCCTTCTGGTGGTGGTGGCGCGGGGGTTGGTCATGGAGTTTCTGCTGGTGTCGCCAGAAACCTCTTTAGCTCGCCTGCGCCAACGCCTCGAACACACGTCTACGGCACTCCGGGTGTGACTCCTTCAACCATGGCTGGTGGCCGTACTCCCGCTGGCCATACTCCTGCTGACTTTGGATTGACTCGGAACACGGGCGGCGCCATGAACCAGCAGATGGGCCAAGGCATCTATGGAAGGGCCCCCACACTGGATACTCAAGATCTCTTCAACGCACAGCAGCCAGCCAATTGCACTCGCAACTTTTGTCTTCCCCTTGATAAATGCTACGTCGACATTTCTAGTCGCATTCTCGCTGGCAACGCAAGGGGCAAACAAGTTCTGCGATTGTGTTGCGACGACGTAACTTTGCAACGAGACATTGAAATCTTGAAGTCTGGTGGTGTTGCAGCTCAAGAAAAATGTGCCGAGATTACTTCTCTCCGCCGAGACCTTGTCGATGATGTCCAAGAAATGAAAAATTCCGTCGCTGACATGGATACGATCATCGCTGACATGCAAAGGATCAGAGAATCGAAAAATCTATCCGCGCAACAAGCCGAGTCCGTGCTCGTTTCAAAGATGAAAGAATTTGAGCAGATGGCGTATTCCTATACTTCGACCGGGGCGCTTACGGAACAACCCCGGAAATATGACAAAAACACAGTTGATATGTTGCTTCACAAATACAACAGCAGCGGAGCCAAAATGTGGCTGAATGTGAGTCTAAAGTGCTTGGCTGATGATTTGTTCCTCAACAACTTTGACAAGATCCAGAACTTGGATGTTGATGGATGCTACAATTTGCTTGAAGCGTTTGGCGAGAACGGCCTCCTAAGCAACAGCAATTGCAAGGCAGCTGTAGAGACCTACAAGCAAAACGGAACTATCGTTGACACGTTTTCCGCATCCAAGGTCTACTGCAACAAACAGCTACACCTCGAGACTCTGCATGCGCTAGTAGGAATCTATCTCGACAAGATTCCAGAAGATCATACCGGCATGGTCCGTCGGAACAAGCGGGACAAATTGCCCACTTGGGGCAACCACCCTACGGCCTCCAACCAAAACATGGGCCCTGCTGGAGGTCCAATGCCTGCAACCCCGGCTCCTGCTCGGGCTCCCGCGCCTCCTACTTTCTTCATGTTCGGGAACTCGCAAGTGCCAAATCCTGCCGCGCACCGTCGTGTACACAGTGAATCTTCAGCTCCCCACACCAACTTTTTCGCTCCTCGCCCGCCAGCAGCTCCTCGAACTCCATCGTGCCCCAAATTGAAGGTAGGCAACATGACGTCAGCCCCGATTATCGATGAGGAATTGTAATGGGACGACAACACGGTTCATTTAGCTTCACGCACCCTTTGGTGGTAGGGAGGGAAACGGATTCTGACTTGCTGTGATTCGATTCTGTCACTATCAAGGCAACACGACCAGATACATTGACACCAACAAGGAGCCACCTCCATCCAACGAAACACACGCACACACACAAGAAATATCCAAGCGACACACACAAGAAATATCCAACGAGAAACACACGCAAGAAACAACTCACACAATAAAACAACACAAAAACAGACACAGACTTTCACATACGGTAGTACTATCGATACTTCACAAACGAGGGCGGAACGGTGATAGGTAGATACTACGTAATAGATAAGAATTATTACCGATGACACCGGCGGAGACTTCTGTACTGTTAGAGCCACTGTACAAGGCAACTTCGTACAGCAATGTCTGGGGAGACGAATGATGAATCGAATCTCTGAGACCCGTGTTTCGTTACGCCAAGAAGTCATGTACACGAATCAGTTTAGATCATCCGCTCACATAGTGCTACCGGTAGAGCTTGTGGCTGGTGGCTTCCAAGGAATGAATTCGTCGATGATCTGCTCTTCGACGGGAAGAGCAGAAGACCCGTGGCCATGTTGCGCATAAAACCCACTCCGAATATGTTTCTCTTCTACAAGGGCTTGGCGATGACATCACAGTGACGAAGAACTACATCCGTGAACGTCGTCGTCTCTTGGATTTGCACATGCAAGCCCTGGATGAGCTCGAGTCTGCGACTCATCCCACGCTGCGAGAGAAAGTAGAGACGGCTAGGATCCTTACCAAGGGTTTCGATGAACAGCCCAAGGACTACGACAACGAGACCATTGCCATCCTCCTCCATGCATACAACCACAGTGATTATAATCCGTGGCTTCAGACGAGCCTTGTTCCGTTGGCGGAGGCATTGAAACTCTCCACATTTGACACGGTCCGGAACTTGGATATCGACGGATGCTACAATTTGCTCGTGGCATTCAAAAAGAAGTGGCTGATTTGCAACCCGCATTGTGTTGCTGCCGTTCGGTCCTACCTTCAGGATGGAACCATTGTTGACAGCGAGTTCTCGACCAACAACATCCACTTCAGCAAGGAATACAACCTCGAGACAATGCATGCTCTACTTGGAATCTATCTCGACCTGGTCCCAGAGGATCTTACAGGCATGGTTCGTCGGACGAAGAATTCAAGTTTGCCCACCTGGGGCAATGCGCTCCCCTTGGTCGGCTACAACAACGGAGCCCCAGCTGAACCTGCTCCTGGCAGCTTTGCGTTCGGCGGCGCAGAGATAGTCCCTCAATGGTATGGCAATCAAAACTTTGAGGAGGAAACGTGTACCGATGCATTGCTCCTGCCCGCGGAAGGGGACCAAAACCAGGCCGAACCATCCACTGGTCCTATGGATGGTTAGACCATCGACGAGGACGGAGACACTTGGAGGTAGGTTTCAAAAAGCGTGATACGGAGCGCAACATGAGCTGCGTCTGCGCTTGTCGCTATGCTGTCGTACTCTCTAGTCAATTGGTCGGTCAGGTAGAATAGAATGAGCTGGATATACGATGCATCGGGATGCACAGGTGAAGCCAGAGAGCTGAATGACAATGGATGCTGCTATGGCTACGAAGTGAAACTACTGGTACGACTACAACTACTATAAAGGAGCAAGAACTGATTTTTGTTGTTGGTAACAATGGTCTACTATGTGTTATTGTTCTACGTTTATGTTTGGTTGTATTTTTAAGATTGTAGCATCAACAATGATAGAGGTTGGTTGTCGGGTGTCACGGGTATTAACTTTGGACTTTCGTCGCGTGGAGGACGTTCGGACAAGCACTCTGCAATAGAGGCTGCCTAGCACAGGAACCACAAACCTGGCTACCTTCGATGTGACCCTTCAATTGAACCAACTGTATTCATCTCCGCAAAAAATGTTGTATAGCCCTGCACCCCACCAGATGCTTGCTCGTTGTGTATTGTATTGTGTTAGTTATCCCCCCAATCCGTCATCGCCCCCAACTTACCTGTTGTTGTCCTAAACTGGAATGTACCGGTCAGGCTTTCTGACTTTCCGTCCAGAAAGAGTTGTTGTTGTTGTATGAACTGTTGTTTGCTGCTGTGTGTCCGTCACAGGTTGTGCCATCGTCTTCTTCTTGCCCTTCGCCTTTGGCTTTGTCGACTTCTTCTTGGTGGCCGCCGCCCGTCTACGTTTAATTCTAGGTTGTTCAACTGCCACCCTCCGTGGCTTCGTCTTGATTTGTTCTGCGATTCTCTGAGATGCAATCGCCGCCCTGCGTCTCTTTGATCGTCGCAAAGTTGATTGTGCTGTGTCCACATTGTCCTCCTCGTCGACTCGGTTGTCGACCAGTGGTTCATCAGCATCAACTTGTTGTTGTTCCTCGATCTCGACCAGTGGTTCTTCAGCTTCCACTTGGCCAGTCACGAATTCGCAATCCGTATCGTCCAAGGCAACGCCTGCATCCAATCGTAGTGTCTTGTGCCGCCGCATCAATTCTTTGACAAGGTCTCCACCATCCTTCATCAAGGCTGCGAGAATGTCGTTGGGTACCACTCCAAGTAGCACACCATTCATCATTCGCAACTCCAATACAAATGGTTGTTGTCCATGCACACTGATCTTGAAGTGTGTCACATGCCACTTTTGAACATATGGGACCACTGCTGTGCATGTGGGAACCACCGCTGCTTCGCATGTGATTGTGGCATCGGATGCCATCTCGTTGTTGTCGTCGACGGTCGAGACTGTTTCTATTGTCTCGACGTCTTTAGTTGTTGTTGGTTGTTGTTCTGCTACTGCAGGTGCTGCATCTTCCATGCAGACGTCCTTGACCTTGCGATAGACAAATCGTCGGTTGGCAATCTGTTCTCGCGTATTCAAGGTGCAAATTTCGTCGTCAGCATTGCGCTGAATTCCTCCGTGGTGCAAGTGGCACATGGCGAGTTCGAACATGTATGGGTTCTTTTCGTTGACCATGAACCAGTGCAAGACTTGCTTGTCGTTTCCTTTCTTCGCTTTGATGAAGCTGACAAGTGGCTCGAGGTCTTGATGCACGGCATCCATTTGAATGTACAGTTTGGCTTTTTGTAGGTACACTTTGTCGCTTTGGAACCATTTGTTGTTGGTGATCCATTTGGCCACTTGTTGGTATCCGTACTCTTGAATCAACTGCACGAGATCCAAGACGCGTTCGTGGGGTGTGGGTGTGCCGACGGAAATGAATTGTTGTTGGGCTTCATGCCAGAATTCGTATCGGGCCTGTGGCTCTTGTTTCTTAATGTCTCGATAGACATCACGTTTTTCTTCTTGTTCGCTCTCATCAGAAGAGTACCTCACTACAGTGTTGACGGGAGCAAAGGATAAACGGTTTCCATTGCTCCGTTCAGTGTCTTGACCGTAATGGGTCTTCCAGCGAGCATTTGCCGATTGACTGGGTTGGATGCGACAGCCTTTGGGCCGGTGCTGGTTGTATTTGTCGTATCCGTAGTGACCATGCTGATCCGAAGGAACCAGGGAAAGGTCGTAGGCACCTAGGTAGCGACCGTGCTGCTGGAATTCCACATCAGGATGCGTTCCATACGTGTGCAACAGTGCCGCGGTTTGGACGACATCTTTGTCCAACTCATCCAGTTGGAATGTTGGGACTTCCTCTGCCCCAGGAACGTCCTTGTCGTCATCATTGTTGTTGTTGCCGCCCATCATCTCCTTGGCAACCTGGAGAACGGGGGTCTTCTTGGTGCTGCTGTTATTGTTGTAGGTGATCCATGACCACGAGAGCAGCTTGATGATAGAAGGAGAGAACTTCATTTTGCAATTGATAGGTATTGAATAGAAGATTGATAGAAAAGGTAATTGAAAGTAGGGGGGTTGATCTGGCCTAGGCTTATCAACAATCGCGAAAGTCTTCCTTGTTCGGTTGGGTATGCAACTCTAGCAATCCGGTTGAACAAAAAAGTGAGCTCATCATGGTGACCTCTAAATTGGGATGACAGATTCTGCCAGATGTTGGGATGACAGATTCTGCCAGAATGAAAAACGACACGTGATGAGACGAGACTGAGCCACTGATGGGCACTGATTTCATGCTCTATTACCAAACAACACCCAACAAGATACTTCCTGGGCCTCTCAGCGTGGTCTTGATGCTGCCTGGGTGCTTCCATGGGTGTTGTTGTTGTTGTCTGCCTTGATGCTTGATGCCACGCTCTTTCTCTGCTGATCTTCCTCTGACGTTGCCCGTTGACGGAACCAGATGGATCGAGGAGAGCCTAACCACGACTAAAAGATTTAAATCTTTTTTACGAGGGCAGACCACCCCCTTCCATGGAAAGCACGATCAATGTTATGCCCTTGGTCATTTCTTCGAAGGCGTTACTTAAAAGGCACACCTCCGACCTCCACCTTTTAAGTCCACAGGTTCGTTTTTTGCTTGGGAATTTACGAATGTGCAATTGATTTCGTTTCGTTTCGTTCCGGTTTTTGGTTGGTTCATACCGGCTCATCCACCTGCGTACCGGTTTTCCCAGTTTCGAGCAACCACAGCACCAGAGCGACGGATCCACAGTTTGGATCCACACATGTAGTTAGTTTGGATCCTCTACACTACGGTACGACTCTGACTCGACTCGACTTGACTGACTCGACTTTCACTCTTCGAGAGCCCACACACAGCCGAGTGATTTGTCCTAGCTCAGTCCTCCAGGCGAACCACGTCTGAACAAACAAAGGGATGGTCTTCTTTTGTATTGCTCACAATACCAACTATGACGACGACGACGACAGACCCAAACAAGCCACTTCTCGAGAGGGCGAGAACGAGAGATTCCCTTACGTTGTTCCTGTACAACCCCATCCCGGGCTTTGCTATCGTCTGCTTTGACAACCACCCCACGAAAACTGCCCCCAGAAGTTTCCACAAAGTGATGGATGACCTAGGAGACCGACGGCAAAATCTCGACATGCAGTTCTTGCTCTCTCCCAGAGCCTTAGATGATGGTGATAAAAGTGAGCTATCCTTCGGACCCAACGATACAACCTATGCGCTCTTTCGGTGCGGGCCAGACTTCCGCGAACTCGGGCGCATCGAAGCCCGTCGAGGGTATGATCATTCCAAGGATCTCTCGTCCTTCCTGCTCAGAAAACGAGGTGATTCCAACGACAAGGAGAGTACACTCGCCCAAAAGCTCGGTGTAGAGAGAACCAAAGCCCGCATCAATGTCTACTTGAAGTACATGAGCAAGAAGCACGAGACAGACCTTGGGGAAGTCAACAGTGAAGGAAAGGCGTATGTCAAAAGTGGAGACCATGACATTGCCATCATTGCATCTGGCAAAGGCGGAGGGATGGTCCGGCTGCTCAGCTACATTGGCAAGGAAAAGCACGGAGGAGACGCAGAGCTCCTACAGGAAGTTCTTCAGTGGAACTTTGGCGAAAGCTTTGTTGGTGAATACAACATTGGTGTTGATGCCAGCACGACGCGCTTCACCCTGGAATGCTTCCTCCACAACATAGAAGAGAACGGCTGGAACGAGGTGAATTTCAACAACATGGTCTGTGCCTTTGGTGGGTCATGCAAGACAATCGACGAGAAGATCAGAGAGTTCAAGAAGAAACAAGAGGAAAAGAAGTTACCTAAAGAGGAGAGAGAACTCCCAAGCGAGGAGCTTCGAGAAAAGAGGCTCTCCAAGTATGGCCTAGAGAAGGAAGAGAACCTCACCGGAAGCGACAAAGAAAAGGGAAGATACAATTGCTGGTGTTGTCGAAAGTGTTTCAAGACAGAGGCCCAGCTGAAGAACCATATGCACAGCAAGAAGCACAAGCAAAGCTGGCGAAAGTGCAAATCGGCTTACCGGCAGCAGGAAGAACTGGAGCACACTCTTGTCGGCCCAGAGGTTCTCACCCCCGCCAAGGCCATGTTACCGACAAGTGCAGAAGACGAGAAGAGGATAAAGATTGCCAGCCTCACGGCGGAACGAAGGGAGATGTATCGCCACAAAAAGATCTTGAGGGAACTCATTTCCCAGGACAAGCAAGAAAGGAAAACGAACGGAGGAAAACTGAAGCCAAAGCTTGGAGTTGACGGGTACCGGCCAACAGGCACTTTCTACGATACTGATAGGTAATTCCAACTGCTCGATGCAGCTCTAGATACTAGTGGTAGATTCCTTTCAACATCGCCTTTGGTGGCAGGAGCCTCTTTCGCGAAGGTTTCCTCGCTCTCGCATCGCCCCGGAAAACCGGACACATGCCCTCCGCTTCTATCTATGGGCTACCGGTACCGCTCAGGGGCCGTTCTGCTGGCGGTCCGTGGTGCCGCCGCCTGCGCCCTGGCTTGATGTTCTGGAAACGCCTTCTCGTCCGTTCCTTTGCTTTGTACAGCGGAGACCTTGAAAATGCGTCATGGTGGCAAATCCAGCAAAATATCCACGACTCAGGCTCCAGCATCTTTTTGCGGCATCTTCGCTCACCCTGTCATGATCACCAGGGAAAATGCGTCATGTTACTGTAGCAGCTGGAATCCCAGTAACCTTTGGCTTCATAAGTACACAATGGTTTGAGTGAAGGGCATTGGATGTCGTCAATATGCGTCGAGTTGTCTTGACACCGTTTTGCACGCAAGCAGTTGCTTGCTCTTGGTATCATCTTTTGGACCTGGCTAGCTGTGACTGCTCCTTTTGCGAGTGCTTCTACAGTCGTAGCCACTTTACTGGGGCTCGAACCGGTGCAGGCCTCACAAATTGCAATCCGCAAGAAAGCAATAAACCAACCAACCAGCAAGCCACATCGAAATGACTTCAATTACTCTGTCGATGCCTGAAGGAATCACCAAGGTCACTCTCGGGGCGTACATGGTGGAGGACAGTAGCATTGCTCCAACCGCCGATAAATTGGATGAGAGCGAGTCAAGCGAAGAACGGTCTACGTTTAGCATGTCCTTTCTTCCAATTACCCGCAAGTCGGATGAGAACGAGACACCCGAAGAGGGTACCGTTATCTTGTCCGAGTCTGAAAATGTGCCTACAACAAAGAACGTGAGGTTCGTGGCAAAGCCAAAGAAAAATTTCTTCTATAGACACCATGCAGATTCTGATATCTGGTTCAGCAACAAGCTAGCACCTCGGAACAAGAGAGCTCGCAAGCCTCAAGCCAAAGCGTGGAGAGAAAAGGGGTTTGGAGAACTTGTGAAGGATTCCTTCCACAAGCCCAATCCCTCCCAACTTACTACGTTTGCCCTACAGGAGGGCGAGGACAACATGCGCGGCGCCGAGATGTATCTCTGCGAAGATCTCAAGAGGACTCGTGTGGAAGAACGCAGACGGCTCATTGAAGGCGTACTCGAGTGTGAGAGCACGATGCGCTTCAATGGCGAGGAGAAGACAGCAACCGACGAAATCGTTATGGCAATTGCCGATCTTTCCCGAGATTTCTCTCGTTCTGCGGTGGAGTATGCACGTCAGCTCGGACTGGCCGACCAGCGGGCGGTCGAGATTGGCGAAAGTGGCTCTTGCATGGATGATTTCTTTCAACAAGACATGTCTGCATCCTTTCATGCGCGCTGTGCTGCAATTGAAAGTGTGGCGATGAAGAGACGGTACAAAGGGATTGTTGCTTGCAGTGTTGGGATCTTTAGCATTGGCGGGGCCTTGAACATTTTGTAAAAGACTTTCAGCTACCTAGTAAACCAGACTACAAGTACATCTAGTATTTTTTATTCCACCTGCCCCAACTATCCCATGTAGTGCCACTCCAAATGACTCCCTTGCTGTCACTCACGTTGACTCGACTCATGGGTTGCCCCCGACGCCCGTGGCTTTTGTTGCCGACTAATCTGACCAAAGGAATTGATTTCGATAGCCAATCTATGTTGTTGATTGTACCACCGGTATTGGCTCGTTGCCTTCGCGTAGACCTGCAATGTACTTGCTCACACCGAAACGAATCGGTATTTCTTTGTTGGGCTCTTGGAGACTGATGTTTTCTTGGACTCGTCGGTGGAAGTTCCATTGTCGTGCTGCACATCATGTAGGATATCATCAACATCTACTTCGGGGCTGCCATCGTCGTCTTGTTGTTGCTCGTGTTGTGGAATATCATCGACGTCGACTTCGAAGCTTTCGTCGCGCTTGAGTTCATCAGTTTTTTGAGGTGGCGGTTCCCGTTCTTCTGTAACAGGTGTATCATTCCCCCCTTTCGTTTTGCTATTCGTTTGTTGTCGCTGTTTCGCCTCGTCCAATTTGGCCCACTGCAGAATACAGTCGACAAAAACTTCTGGATCGGCTTGCGCCCACACCAATTCATTGAGACGAATCGTTTCTTGCTGCCAGTATTCCTTGCTTTGATTCAAAATCACGTAGGGGGCACCCACCGAGAGCAGTCCCATTCCGGCAATGGCCGGTGCCAAATAGGGCATGGATGCCGCCACCCCCAATGTCACGGCGACGGAACTCTTGACGTTGCAAATCGCGGTGGAATGCAAAAATACCGATGCCTGCAATGTACTCCATCGTCCCGTTTTGCAAAAAACGGCAATGCATTCGGAATTGGCCTTGAATGGATGGTACGGCGGCAAGACGGTTTCTCCCTGTTCCAATAGAAATTTGGTGCGTGCGAGTACCAGTTTGGGTGGATCGGATTTGGGTAGTAGTGTGTTGTTGTTGTTTGTGGCGTCCTTGTTGTTGGGTGACTTGTTGTTGCTGTTGGTGTCGTTTCGTTGTGTTGTCCAAAAGAGACTTCGTCGTCGTTTGGGTGGTTCTTCCCATTTATTGTTATTGGCGGTAGTATCATCGTCAACTTCCGAGTCTGTAGCAGAATTCGCCAAGGTGGGATCACTTTCGGACGTTTTGAGTGACGGCATGTCGTTCCATGGTTCCATTTTGGTTGCTTCGACCAGATTGGACATGGATGCACTTCCAGTGGCAGCAAATGTAGCAGCAGCATCGGTTTCGCCGTTGGTATTGATGTTCTCTGTATTTTGTTGTTTTTTCTGTCTGTTTTGCCACCATTGCATGATTCCTCCACTGGGTCTCTTCTCCTCTACTGGTTGTTGCTGTTGCTGCTGATGGTCTAGGTTTCCGGGCGGTTGTTGCTGCTGTTGATCTTCAGACTGGATTGACTCTGAGGTGGGATCTTGTGATCCCTTATTACTTCCAAAGAGCCCTCTGCCATACTGAACCTTTTTCCACGGCTTCAGCTGTTCTTGTGTGGTAATTGTGTGAAGAGTGATTCTTTGTTTATTGGTCATGTCGGGCTTGACGAGTTCCCATGCCGCGGAGGAGAGCCGTTTGGAGGTAGTGCCCTGTTCCTTGGCCGTTTCCTCCTCTGTCTTGTTATTGTTGTCGCTAGCGTTGCTGTTGTTGTTATTGGTCTCCTCGCTGTTTTCCTTGAGGTCATCTTTCGGCTCGGCCGTCAGACCAAAATCACATATAGTGATAGAGTCCGTTCCAGTAGTCTCTAGGACAATGCCGTGTATTTGAATGGGCCACACAATGGGCAGCATTTCCCATCGAATCACGTGATCTCCCGGTTGGAATTCGTGCTTCAGGCCCACGGTCCCTTCTTTCGGTGATGCTGGATCTGCAGCTTCAGTGGTAGGATCCTCACTTATAAGCACATCCGCTGGTAGGTCCTCCGTGGAAGAATTGGAGGTAGTAGACACCGTCAGATCGTCCTCCTTCTTCCGGCGAGCAGTCTCACTGCTGTCACTGCTGGAGGGGTCTTCCGGCAGAGTTTTGGTACATGGGCCGCAACCGGGATTTTCTTCCATGGGAGACTCTGCCTTCTTCTCTTCTTCAACGCTCATTGTCTCTCTTTCTCTCTCGTTCAATAATTAAAATGGGATTTTTGTAGTTGGTCGTAGTTTTTCTAGAAGTAATGGAAATTTAAGACTGTGCTCTTCCTTCTGCTGGTGGCCTTCCGTCAAACGCAACGACGATTGTTCAATGCTGCAATCCAATGCTTGCTGGCTAGTCTATCGTATCTATCTATCTTTGGGAATGGTGTGGAGTCAACACCGGTACCTTTCCCGCTTGTTGTTCAGTTTTGTTGCTTATTTGAGATTGCAGCTTTGGAAGCCACCGAAAAATAAAAAAACAAAGCACAGGAGCCCAGTATGCTGGTCCGCGCCAAATGCGCAACGTAGCCAATGTACTGTGGTACACGTGGTCTTCTAAAGTTGGCTTGTACATGTATGTGATTGACTGCAAGTAAAAGTGCGATTGAACCGATAAGACTCCCTCGACTCCGATTGGACGAGCAGCACTTCTTTTTGAATGAATATTCCACGGTGTGCCATCTTGCAAGAGCCAAAGTTCCACTGTTAGTGTCTCATGGGCCAGGGAAACAGCATGGTGGCTGTAGTTCCTCGTTTGATGCAAGGATGCAGTGTACAGTATCATAGAGAATACCAGAGAGAAATGGAAAGATATTGCTAGCTAAAAAAAAATTGAACATCTAATAACGGATTCAGACGAGATGTGCTTGCTAGCTAGATACAGTGGTAGATGCCGTGGGATGTTCTTGACTCGTGTGGCCAAATTCCACACTCGGCGCTTGACATCCGTCTGCTAGAAGACTGGCTTGATCCAGTGCACGACGGTATGTACGGTACGTACCTCATGGCACTGGAAACAGTTCCATTGAAGCAAGCGGCCTAGATCTGACTCATCCGCTGCGGCATGATTGAAACAAAACTTTGGATCGCCAGAGTGCTGCTTCAGCATAGGCGGCCGCCATGTACAGAGATGGTGCCTGATGGGCCGGGGACCATGTTCGCCCGCAGCCATGCACGCAAAGCACTCGAGTGATATTCTCGGTTGGCCTTGCTTGAAATCTGCTTGGAATATCAGTTATTGATGCAGTTGCAAAGACACCTCTGAATCTGCCGTTGCCTTGGCAATCTGATACAAGAATTTATTGCAATTCCCTTGGGGGGTATCCGGAAATGATCATGGCAAGGCTTTTTGGATGAGATCTGAGTGTGACACTGAGTGTGATATCATCCTTGTCGGAAGCAGACGCAGCCAACATCCTCAGGGCAGAAATCATGCATACCCTTGGAATTATCAACCCTCGTCGACTCTTCCATTGTCGTAGCTGCATCATACTCCGGATTCAGAGTCTCTCTAGCCGAAAGCGTCAATAGCTTCGGTGTAAACCCTAACTCTCTAACAAAGAAAACGATTTTGAGCCAGTCCCGTCGGGGATCTCGTTCTTCAACAATGACGTCAGTGCTCTTCCTCCACCCACCCGAAAGCCCACGTAGCTCGTCAAGGATGGACGGACGGTTTGAAGACTGCAACAGCCGTCATCCGAAGCGACGTGAGAAGGAAGCTGTTGACAACCTCCCAGAGAAGGTTGTATCTTCTTCGGCTTGGTCCTCTGATGGGAGAAGCGGCAGCAAGGTGTTCTCGGAGGTAACTGAAGCTTTGCTTGGCTGAAGCCACGAACTCTTTGCAAATCAAAGATAAGCCAAAAGGCACCCATGCTTTCAAGCTAGCAACTAATGTGTAGCTAGATTCCCACAGTGTGCAAATTGGAGGCGAAAGGATGCGTTATTGGTTATCCAAAACTATTAACAAAACACTTCTCACACTCCAAGGACGTCGCCAGACGGTCAGGAAAGGTCTATTCAGTGTGGAGGCTGTATTAACTGTAGCAGTGCAGCCAAGATGTTTATTTCTTGGTGTAGTCAATTTCCCCGAAGAAATCGTTCTCAGTGTCAGTCAAGTTTCCGTATTCAGCCAACCAAAGGGAAAGAATAGCCCAGTGGACAACGAAAAGGACAGCCAACAGCTTGGTGTCGTCAACTCCGAACCATTCGGCAGTTCCCTCTGTGGCAAGGGCCGCTGAGGAGGTCATGATGGCAGGGACAGCTCCGGCAACAGCGGCCATGAAGCCTCCGTTACTGGCGGCGCTCAAGGCAGTTGTGGATGCCTTTGCGACCATAGCTGTAATGAGAAAGAAAGAGGGAGACGAGTCATGTGAGAAAAAGGGTCATAAGCATTGATTGATAAGCCGAGCGAGCAGGAGATGGAGATAGAATCCGGAGAAGGAGCGGAGCGCTAGAGAGCTAGACCTTGATAGGCTTAGCAGCCCAACCCGACTCTGAAAGACGGGTTGATGGGCTGTACATACAAGGACGTCACTAGCTCACTCAGGATGCCACATCCTCTTCGTTCCTGTTCCCTCGGCGAGAATTGTCTTGCATAGAAAGAACATACCAGTCTGGGGTGCGAAGGCACTGGCGGTAGCCAAAAGCATAAGGAAGGCGAAAACTCGTTGCATCATGGTGACTGTCTTGGTTCAAATCTGTTGACGAAAAGTGTGAGGATCTTGGCTTTGCCGCTGCGCAGATGGACAAGGCGTGCGAGGGTTGGTTTGGGTATCTTTCTGTTCAACTGACGTGCTTTCTCCTCAACATTCTTCAACCTTGGAGAATGGAACTTTTAGCGTTTCGTCGAGCGCGGAAGCAAAAGTCTCTTTGGGTCATCATCGGGCTGAGCTATCTGAACCACTAAAGATATTAACGTTAGATGTTAACACGCACATTTCCCCGAAGGAATCACTGCTACCCTTAGCAGTCGTCCTTGAGAAATTGAAAGCAACTATTGAATTCAAAATAGGACGAGGAAGGCCAAGCAATGCTTTACACCCATTTGCATTTCGATCACAATCGTAATCTTGCTCAATAGCCATTTCTGAAAGGCTACTGCTTCCGGTACCGGTAGCATGGTAAGCACTCCCACTGTAGACATCTCATGTCACAGAGGTATGCATATGAACAGTTTGCCAAGTCTATTATATCTAGCTAGATAGCTGGCGAGTATTAGATAGTGGTAGTCCTATGCAACAGGTTGTCAGAGTGCAAATGTGTCCTGTGTCTTGCAATTTGAAATCAACGAAGGGAAGGTTGCAGGAATGTCTGCTGGACTTGATGGGAGCGTTCTTTCGTCTTTTTAGCATCAATGGTTGGATTAGCTTGTACCGGTAGAAGACAAAAACAATAAGAAATAAATCAAGCACAACCAAGTTTATCTTTCAGCACTGCAACAACGAGGATGAGATGACGAGACATGGAAGTGACCAACGGTAAAGCTGGTTTATTGCTTGGCTGCAAATTGGCACAACGGCGGCACAAGAATCCAATTCTCCAACCACCATCGCAACATCACCGGTGAAGGCACTCCAGTCAAAGGAATCACTGTTTGCAATGTTTTCCTCTCATTAGAATGAATCAAAGAAAAGGTTACGTGAATGTGACAGAATGGATGCCTTAGCGGAACCGCTTCTGGCCTCCAAAGAGGACGACCATGAGCAAGAGAGGGCTCCCACGGGCAAATGCGGCGAAGTCGAAGTTGCAGTGAACAGTGGAGCTGATCCAGTTGGTGCCATCACTTCATTGGACGAAGAATCTGCTGAGGTCGCACAGTCAAATCGTGGCGAGGAAGGAAACAATGAACATGGATCTTTTCCCACAATGACAGAAGAATCGACCAACCCAGCCCTTCCCACGCGTCTTGTACATATTGGCCGCAAGTTCTTGCTGACCCCCCTGATGCCCAAAGGCCCCAGCAATCTCAAGATGCAGCTAAGGTTTCTCAGATTTCTAGGAGTTACACTACTTGGAATCGTAGCCACACACTTCTTTGTCTTCACTTTGGTACGTGGGTACAAGCAATGCATTCTTCTCCCGCACCGATACGGTGTCGGTGTCATACCTAGTATCTGATACGTTTTGCTTCTGCTTCAAATAGAACTGGGAACATCGCAAGGGACTCACACTCTATGATACATGGGTATATGAGGGAAATCTTATTCTGCTCGATTGTATTGCCATGTTCAGTGTTGGTAGACTCTTCGACAGGAGCGCCGTGGATCATTTGGCATGGATGTCGGTCATGCTCCTGAGTTCTCTCTACACAAGTACCTTGCCCCACGTATCCTGGCTTCGGCATTCTGTGACTCTTTATGAGTTGCATTGTACTTGGCCTTGGCAACTGTGGATCTTTGTCGTTGCACTCTGCGTCCCCGTCTGCGCCGGTGTTGTGATTCTGCACCTTCGACATGCTCAACTCCAGGAAGATCTAACGAGAAAAACCTTCGAAGTCATGCTTACCATGATCCTCTTTTTGGTACCCCAAATGCTACATACCAATTTTGAATTCCATCATTGGTTTGCTGGATTGTTGTGTGGGATGCACGCCAACTATGACGTGTGGTGGAGCCAACTTGCGATGGCCTGGTGCTGGGGCCAATACGTAAATGGGATTGCCGTGTGGGGTAGAGATCCCCCGTTGAAGTGCAGCTATGCTTCCTACATCACCAAACGACAAGGATGTTGCCGCCATCATCGTCCATTGGAAGACACAGTCTTTGGTGTGGCAGATGGTCACAGGTGGGGAGGGGTGTCGGAAGAGGCCTGTTGGCTCGACGACAGCGCAATCCACAATTCTCCTGCTGCTACACTGTTCGATGACATCACGTCACTGACATCCTCTGATTGGCGACATTGTGATGCCCACCCCAACTAACTGGGTACCGGTAGGGCAAGCGGCACCACTAGATCCAGCAAGCGGCTGCCATGAACTCAGAAAGGATCCAGCGGGAACAGAATCCAGAAGCTGTGTGCCTCCCCCTTTCGACTCTCGACTCCCCACAGCTCATAGTAACCTCTTCCTGCATCGTTACGACAACCACTTACATGCCAGAGCTTGCCCTACAATGGATACTACAACGATTATGAACTACTAGCTAGCTAGTACGACCACAACTACTATAGAAGGAAGACCTGATTTTTGTTGTTGTTAAGATTCTCTACTATGTGTTATTGTTCTATGTTGATGTTTAAAAGATTGTAGCATAGCATTAACAATGATAGAGGTTGGTTGTCGGGTGTCACGGGTATTAACTTTGGACTTTCGTCGCGTGGAGGACGTTCGGACAAGCACTCTGCAATAGAGGCTGCCTAGCACAGGAACCACAAACCTGGCTACCTTCGATGTGACCCTTCAATTGAACCAACTGTATTCATCTCCGCAAAAATTGTTGTATAGCCCTGCACCCCACCAGATGCTTGCGCGTTGTGTATTGTATTGTGTTAGTCCCTGAAAATTGTGGTTGTTGCCCACTTACTCACCTGTTGTCCTAGACTGGAATGTACCAGTCAGGCTTTCTGACTTGCCGTCCAGAAAGAGTTGTTGTTGTCGTCTGAACTGTTGTTTGCTGATGTGTGCCCGTCACAGGTTGTGTTGTCTTCTTCTTCTTCTTGCCCTTCACCTTAGGCTTTGTCGACTTCTTCTTGGTGGCCGCCGCCCTTCTACGTTTAATTCTAGGTTGTTCAACTGCCACCCGCCGTGGCTTCGTCTTCATTTGTTCTGCAATTCTCTGAGATGCAATCACCGACATGAGTCTCTTTGATCGTCGCAAAGTTGATTGTACTGTGTCCACATAGTCCTCCTCATCGACTCGGTTGTCGACCAGTGGTCCTTCAGCATCAACTTGTTGTTGTTCCTCGGTCTCGACCAGTGGTTCTTCAGCTACCACTTCCTCGCCAGTCACGAATTCGTAATCCGTATCGTCCGAGGCTACGCCAGCCTCCAATCGTAGTGTCTTGTGCCGCCGCATCGTTTCCTTGACAAGGTCTCCACCATCCTTCACCAAGGCTGCGAGAATGCCGTTGGGTACCACTCCAAGTAGCACACCATTCATCATTCGCATCTCCAATACAAATGGTTGTTGTCCATGCACACTGATCTTGAAGTGTGTCACATGCCACTTTTGAACGTATGGGACCACTGCTGTGCATGTGGGAACCACCGCTGCCTCGCATGGGATTGTGGCATCGGATGCCATTTCGTTGTTGTCGTCGACGGTCAAGACTTGTTCTATTGTCTCGACGTCTTTAGTTGTTGTTGGTTGTTGTTCTACTACTACGGGTGCTGCATCTTCCATGCAGACATCCTTGACCTTGCGATAGACAAATCGTCGATTGGCAATCTGTTCTCGCGTATTCAAGGTGCAAATTTCGTCGTCAGCATTGCGCTGAATTCCTCCGTGGTGCAAGTGGCACATGGCGAGTTCGAACATGTATGGGTTCTTTTCGTTGACCATGAACCAGTGCGAGACTTGCTTGTCGTTTCCTTTCTTCGCTTTGATGAAGTTGACAAGTGGCTCGAGGTCTTGATGCACGGCATCAATTTGAATGTACAGTTTGGCTTTTTGTAGGTACGCTTTGTCGCTTTGGAACCATTTGTTGTTGGTGATCCATTTGGCCACTTGTTGGTATCCGTACTCTTGAATCAACTGCACGAGATCCAAGACGCGTTCGTGGGGTGTGGGTGTGCCGACGGAAATAAATTGCTGTTGGGCTTCATGCCAGAATTCGTATCGAGCCTGTGGCATATGTTTCTTCATGTCTCGATAGACACTGCTGTTTTCCTCTCGTTCGCTCTTGCTAGAAGAGAACCCCACTACAGTGTTGACGGGAGCAAAGGATAAACGGTTTCCATTGCTCCGTTCGGTGTCTTGACTGTAATGGGTCTTCCAGCGAGCGTTGGCTGATTGACTGGGTTGGATGTGACAGCCTTTGGGCCGGTGCTGGTTGTATTTGTCGTATCCGTAGTGACCATGCTGATCCGCAGGAACCAGGGAAAGGTCGTAGGCACCTAGGTAGCGACCGTGCTGCTGGAATTCCACATCAGGATGCGTTCCATAGTTGTGCAACAGTGCCGCGGTTTGGACGACATCTTTGTCCAACTCGTCCAGTTGGAACTTGATTGGGACTTCCTCTGCCACAGGAACGTCCTTGTCGTCGTCCTTGTTGTTGTTGCCCGTCATCTCCTTGGCGACCTGGAGAACGGGGGCCTTCTTGGTGTTGCTGTTGTTGTTGTAGGTGGTCCAGGACCACGAGAGCAGCTTGATGATAGAAGAAGAGAACTTCATTTTGCAATTGATAGGTATTGAATAGAAGAGTGGTAGAAAGGGTAATTTAATGTAGGGGGGTTGATCTGGCCTAGGCTTATCAACAATCGCGAAAGTCTTCCTTGTTCGGTTGGGTATGCAACTCTAGCAATCCGGTTGAACAAAAAAGTGAGCTCAACATGGTGACCGCCAAATTGGGATGACAGATTCTGCCAGATGTTGGGATGACAGATTCTGCCAGATGAAAAACGACACGTGATGAGACGAGACTGAGCCACTGATGATATCGACTCTGGACCCGATAGCAGCCTCTAACAACCCACAACACACTTCCTCGGCCTGGCTCCAGTGGTTTTAGTGTTGTAGGCTTGGCATAGTTGCTCTGTTGTTGCCGCGTGGTGCTGCGGAGGCGATTTGGAGGCTGCGGAGAATTCGGAGTGTCGAATGAAGACACGACCGTTAGAGTTAAACTATCCACGACTGGATCACAACACCTTTTACAGTAACTGGAAACTGGACGCAGGGGGAGGAGACCTCGAATCGACCGAGGTCACGCAATTGGAATTAAATTCGTGCCCCCCAAAGAGACCGATGGCCGGAATTTCAAGTGCAAATTTCTAATCAGGTACATGTAGGTGGTTAAAAGTTGTTCGACTAGACCAATAACATGGATGCATGCATTGGCCGCTGCTACAAAACAAGCAGCCATAACTTTATAAAAGGAAGACAAAGGCGCTGGATCTCAATTCCAGTACTTATATGTACTCGTACACACAAACTCATTTAGCTAACATTGCTTGCAGTCTTTCGTCTCCAGATTCATAGCCTGGAATATCAAAGCAATTATGATATTACTTATGCATACATCCTCCCAAAGAACGTCTAAAAAAATAAACAAATCAGCCTCCTTGATCACGGTCCCGACAAGATGATGGCAGAGAATTCGCCACTCGGTGATATTGAAGCTGGCAAGATGTCCTTGTTCATTTCACAGTCCTTGAGGTGTGTCAGTGTCACTGTACAGGTACAGGTACAGGTACAGGTACAGGTACAGGTACAGGTACAGGTACAGGTACAGGTACAGGTACAGGTACAGGTACAGGTACAGGTACAGGTACCGTACCGGTATTTGAGATAGTTTGCATTCATCTGGCATAGCCATGAGCAAAAAGTCTCCGATTGTCATCTCGTTTTTTTGTGGCCGTACTGGGAAACATAGCCGCAACAGCAAAGTACCGGATATCATGATCCATAGCGCTCAATTCCTCAAATTCACGCAACTTTGAATGTTCCTCTGTTCACTCAATAAGAGCCCTTGCTTGAGGAGAAAACTCGTTTTCTGCGGCTACGGCAAGTGCGTAATCAGGGAGGACCTTTTGAAAGGGAGAAGTCCGCGTTGCGAACGGTACTGGTACCACCGAGAGCCCCCTTCAAGAAAACGATTGGTGGAATATGTTCAATTTTCGTCTACTATACGACTGTAGTTTAAAACATGTATTATGATGCATTTATGTTGATGTGATTGGTGGATCTCCGTCTCATTTTGGGCAGTTGCTCCATGGGGACTCGGATGTGGCTTTCAAGATGAACTCAAAAACTACTTCTTGTGCTTGAGGCTTGACCTGATCATGCGCTTTTGGGGTGCCTTGTCGTGCACGGCAAAAACTTGCATAGCAGCTCGAATATCCTGAGAGCCCTCTGTAGAACACAGGTGCTGCATGAACTGAAGTTCGAAATCATCCATTCCAGCGGCAGCTGGGTCTTTGGAAGAACTCGAAGAGCTGCTTCTCTTGAGGGATGCCCTTTTGACGTAGCTCTTGCGTGTTTTGGGCTTGTCAGGAGAACCATGATCGCTCGAAGAAGACAACGCAGGAGCTCCAAGTTCTTCTAGCATCACTGCCTGAGATGCTGGATCTGAAGACAAGGAGCGACGGATGGGTCGACGGCTAGAGTCACTTGGGCGACGGCTGGAATCATTTGGTTGGAAAATTGAAAGTTTCATGATTGCTGGGGTCGGTTGCTGAGCTCTGCAAAAGAAAATTGTGAGGGTTTGTGACAACTACCCAGAGGGCGGATCCAAGCCGAAGATTCGGTCTGGTACCGCTAGCTACCGCCTTTTGTACTGGGACTTTCTAAATGACTAAACCACACATTGATGACTCTTCTCCTTTACCAGTGAATGAAATAATTAGAAGGATAGATGCCCTTCCAGTTGACAAGGTTCACACTGGATTTCAATCAACACGCTAAAGAGTCTTGTCCTTTAATCCTTTTCTATCAACCGAAACAGCAATTCGGTGCCACATCAACCAGCTCCAAGCCGTCGAAGCTTCCGAAACGAGACGAAGGTCATTATGGATCTACAGCCTCTGCTGTAGTGGGACGGATGATGGTTGGATGGTAGAGGAGCGAAGCTGCATGCTAGCTGTTGCCCCCAGCTAATAGTAGGCTGTCAGCATTGGTCTGAGAGGATGTGCCCTGGTCACTGACCCTTGAAAACTACAGCCTTAGGCGAAACAGCACCAGCCAGTCTGTTGAGGAGTAAAACATCCAGCAAGACTAATACATACATGTACAAGGCAGTAAACAGTTCGAGGAAAAGAATCTGGCACAAGATCTGAATCTTTCTTAGCACTGTACGTTGCCTGGACTGGACTCCAATGTAAGAAATGAAGCTTTTAGAGGCGATCTCCGCGTGCTACCGGGAAAAAGGACAGTTGGGATTTGCCTACGTCTACATCATGTAGTAGCCTGGCTGTTGGCGTGATAGCTTTCATTGTCGCACATTAAACCTGCAGCTGGTGGTTGTTTTGGTTGCGTGACGGGAAGAGATTCGACAATACAGTAGAGGCAAGGCTGGCCCAGGCAACCGCCAAGACCCAAACCAAATCAAATCAAACTCTTAACCTTTAAAAGGTCTGAGTCTATGTAGTTCCCTGACATCTCACTGCAGCATGAACTAAACAAACTTGCTGCAAAGTGGTCCCACCCTTACTCGGTTGTGCGTGGCTACGTGAATGCTTGTCTCAGTCTAGCTTTTGTTCGGGCCAGCCACCTCTGCGGCTCTCGTGTCCCTGCCGGCTGGGATGCCGATGGTGCAGTTGCCCTCTTCCCTAATCTTGCCCCCCTTGTCCCTTCGGTCCCTCGGGTCCTCTGCAAAAGGCAAAGTCTGGTGTGGTGCAGTTGGCACATTCAACTGGATTTCCCATGATACCGAAGAAAAAAAACTGAACGTCTAATAACGGATTCAGACGAGATGTGCTTGAGGACTACCCACGAGCTAAGGCTCGGGTATTTCCCACAGTCAAGTCTGCTCACCGGCCACACTGGCCTCCTGAGAGGGTGCGACGCCTGTTAGCTATCTAAGGATTTGTACACTGAGGTCGGAGCCATGATTCACCACAAATCACAAGCTCTTTGTTGAAGAGAGTTGGGGTTGGTAAAGAAGTTTGAGGGGGTAGGAGGGGTAAGGAAAAAGGGATGGTAGGAATGTCCGACTATCCTATTTCCAGGGCTGTGGTGTAGTGACTCTCTTGTAACACAGGTTCCCATGTGTTCAAAAATTGAATGATGACTGGTGTATTCAGTTGCATGCGCGATTCGAGTGGTATCTGGAATAGCCATTCCAAATGTTCGGGGACTTCTTGCTGGTATGCTTCGTAGAACTGAGTGAGTTGTCGGATTGCTTGTGCTTTCTTTGCTTGTGACTTGGTTCTCATGTCGTGCCCATGTCTGTCTTGGTTGCGCATGTCCCAGAGTTTCCACCATTCTTTATAGATAATGTCAATGAGTCCAGTGAGCCATGTGAGTCCATTGTTGCGTTTGGTTGCGGTCTTTTTCATGTTCAAATATCGGTGTTGTTCCTGACTGAATTGTTTAGAGATTCTCCCCTTTAACAGATGATGCCATTGGATTTCCCATGATACCGGTACCCATTCGACGTGTTACTCAAGCAGCTGGCGAAAGGCTGGGATCGAAAGCATTACTGATACCCCAAGGCAGGATCCACCACAGTTTTGCACAAGATGGATCCAATATAGTCTGTAGAACCGGTTGACGACAATATGAAAAAGTGCCATGACTGAACTACGAAGGTAGTTGGGGTGATGCCAGAACCGATCTGGTGATTCTGGAACAGAACAGGCACGAAATCCGTGGAAAGAATCAGATGATAATGGAATCGCATCCTTTACATGTAGACCGTATAAACACACAGCAATCTCGACCCAAAGCACAAGAGGAGCGATCCACCCACAGAACAACGACTCTTACACGTACCGGTAGGTTCCTGGTACTGGTAGTATCGAGACCACAACTATGTATTCTCACGGAGTCTGGCTGACCCTGATCCTGTTCCCCTCAGGAGAGCCGCATCGGCGTTTGATACTAGGGCTACATCCCTTTCTGTGGACCTTCAACTTGAATGTGTTTAACCCTGTTGCTTGTTGCTTGTGCCCGAGTTGGCAACCATGTTTACGTCGAGCACGGTTTCATCCGTAGCTTGCTCTTGGATCCACAACTTGTTTATGTGACAGGGCAGCGATACGTTCCTACGGTAGAAGCCGATGATGAGCGATGACCACAACTCCATTGCGGGCCACTCACTCTCGTGGACAGTGCGGCCAACCTGAATGAATCATTTGAGATGGAAGAGACCACCATACCAACCAGTCCAAAAACAAGGGGCCAGCAAGAAAAGAAGATCACTAAGCACAGAACATGGGCCCACGAGCACAGTATCTTTCTCTTTCTTCAAAGAATAGGGTAGGGGCAATGTTATGGGCCATATCATACGGTAGGCGTGGAGGCTTGGTTAACTTGCAGCAACCAAAAAGTTCTGGAGCTGTGGATGGTGCATCATCTCGCTGTAGGAGACGATTTTGTGAGGTTAGTTTTGGTGCTCTCTGCTGTGTTCTCTGGTACCAAAAGACTGTTCTCTGGTACAAGAAGGTTGTTCTCTGCGGGGTTCGTTGCCGCTGACTGATTTATGGTAAGGTCACTGGAGCGTCGGAAAGTTCCGGTCATCGACACAGTCATTGACCAGTCCAGCTGTTGACACCAACTGCTAAGATCCGATACCAAAAGATCCATGCCGATGCCGACAAATGCATTCTGACGCTCCATCATCCTTGTTCTACAGGAGCTATTAGATCCGAGCAAGGCATGGCTTTATTGATGCCTTGGAATGCCTATCTGCTTCTGGTTGTTTGATAAACGTTGATGGCTATTTGCTCATAATTTTGGGTCTCTATAAAGGTAAACAAAGAAATTCCATCCCACCAAGAATACGTCTGCCCAACCATAAAAAAGAGACCATGAAGATGCAAATTTCTCTCTTTCTGCTCTCCCTTGCTTTGGCGGGGAGTGATGCATTTGTGGTTCCTCGAGTACCAGTGGCACCTGTGGTGGTGACATCGCATCCAGTCTCTCTGGCCCCTCGTTCGGTGATTCTTCGCCGCCACCCCAACAGCAAGCTCTCCGCAACCGTTACGGCTGGCACCCAAGAAGATGATGCCCCCGAAGACGAACCTGGAATTTGGCCCAACGGCGATGAATTGGACAAACGGTTGATGAAGATTGCCATTCCCATGACCATTACATTCTTGGTCACGCCTCTGATGGGGTACATTGATTTATTCTGGGTCAATCGAATGGGAAATCCTCTCGCTGTGGCGGGTCAAGCAGCGTCGAATCAAATTTACAATACGGCCTTTTGGCTCGCCTCGTTTCTACCCAGTGGTACGTACATACAGAACAAACCAAACCAAAACAAAATACTATGGAGTGTACCGATTCTTTTCTATTTTCTATTCAGTTTGATACGGTATGAGCAGACTTCTGACAAAACCTGATTCTCTGTCATTTCTTTTTGTATTTTCGCAGTCACTGCCACCATGGTCGCCAAGGATTTTGCCAGTGGCGACAATGACGCTGTCCAGGACTCGGTTTGCCAGGCTCTCTTTGTCGGAATCTTGATTGCTGCCATTGCCACACCACTCCTCTTCTTTCGCCCTGAAGCTGGACTGGTATCGGTATTGAAAGGATCTGCCCCGGCCATGAAATATGCCAAACCCTACTTGATGATTCGGGCGTTTGCCTTTTTGCCGGGAATTCTGAGTCTCGTGGGATTCTCCGCCTACCGAGGAACACTGGACATGGTCACCCCCACCAAGCTCGTCTTTCTCACCAACTTTCTCAATGCCATTCTGGATCCCATTTTCATCTTTTCGTGCAAAATGGGTGTCAGTGGTGCTGCCTTGGCAACGTTGGTGGCGGAAGTGGTGGCAGCCGTCACCTATGTGGTCTTGCTGTTCAAAAAGAACTTTATTTCCATCAAGAAAATCTTTCGATTGCCTGCATGGGCCAAGTTGGAACCGTTGATCCGGGGAGGATTTGGAAGTACCATGAGGCTGTTGGCCATGAACATTACCTTTCTCGCCGTCGCTCGAGTGACGCAGGGAATGGATCCCACAGGAGTTGCGGCCGCAGCACACGCCTTGGCCTTGCAGACATTCCAAATGGGTGGTGTGGTCTTGTTTGCACTCTCGACCGTCGCTCAAGCCGTCATTCCTGCCGAAATGGTGGTCAAGAAGGATGAAATCACTGGCAAGACCCAAGGAGGCATCAAGGCGGCTCGTGCCACCTCGAACCGCATCATGAGCTGGGGCCTGTTGGCTGGAATTTTCTTGGGAGCAGCTCAAGTGGCGGCTCTGCCCTTTATTTTCAAAGCAACGCCGATGGAGAATGTTCGTTCTGCTGCCAGAACACCGGCGATCGTGGCAAGCATTTTGCAGGCTATCAATGGTTTGGTATTTGTCGGGGAAGGAGTCATGACGGGATGTCAAAACTTTTTGCAATTGGCCTTGAGCACGTGCATAGCAACCGCGGGAAGTCTTTGGGCGCTACAGGTGTTCCCAGCTCGATATGGTTTGACCGGTGTCTGGATGGGTTTTGGTGTTTTCAACCTGCTTCGCTTGGCCGGTGTTTGGATTCATCAATTCTATACCAGTCCCATTACGCCCCAGAAGGTTCGCGAAGCTGAGGCAAGCAGTGCCTAAAAAATGCAATGTGTGCCAGAATGCAGTGCCAACGAAAAAATGCACTTTGTGTGGATTTTAGCGCACACATTGCATGGTTGATGTGGAAGAAAAGGATCAAGCATGAAAATACACGCTTGACTAAATGTATCAAGTCATTGCATCGTCACTGCCACAAAGCTGCTGCCCTAGATAACCTGAATAAACTCATGCATACCCGTAGAATGAAAGTAAAACTCTATACTGTACAAATGAGAGTTTCGCCGTGAAGTAATGTATGCCACAATGCGTTAGGCGAGTGTCCTTCAGGACAACACATCCTAGGTTTGATGTTTCAACAGCTTAACTGGCTAAAGCAGAAGTTTCACGACCGGATCTTCTTTCTTCTTTGACTTCCCTTGTGATCACCCACCAAGCAACAAGTCCTTACCTTGAACCTTGACGAGGAGGCACCATACCTTACGAAGACATCCTCATCAGAAACAATCCCACGCTGCTCGTGCCATTGGAATCGAATCCAGCCAAGCAAGGTTTGAACGCATCGAGAAGATGGATTCTGGTGCTTCTTTCTTCCACTCATCGAGACCAAGCTCTCGCAATTCCCATGATGGTTTTGCGGACTTGGCTCGCATGATGGTTCCTTCGGATGCCAATTTAGCAGGCAATGTGCATGGAGGTAAGGATCACTGGAAGCTTTTCCTTGAGCCAACTAGCTAGATAGCAAGATGCGTTCTCTCAACTTGTCTTTGCCGTTGATACACTAGGCACCATTATGCAATTGATGGAAGAAGCCGCTGGAGTGGCTGCCAATCGCTATTTTTCCGTCCACAAGCACCAACGAATTGTGGCACTCTTGTCCCGTGTCGAACGGTTGACGTTTCAACATCCCATCCATGTGGGCGACGTAGCCCAAGCAACCGCCAAGGTGGTCTATGCATCGCCCCACAGTGTGGCGGTTTGTGTCCAAGTGCGAGCGGAACGCATGCCTTGGTCCACTGCTAGTGGTATTAGTAGTAGTAGAGACAAACCCAAAGAGTATGGAGACGACACCATTTGCAATCGAGCACTCTTGTGGTTGGTAGGAGCCATTCTCCCAAAAACATCACATTCGGTCCATCAAATCAATCCCAAACAATACACCCGAGCGTTGGCGCCACCTTTTCCCGTACCTAGCAAAGAACAAGATTGGGAGGCATGGATCAACTATCAACAAGCTTCGGATCTCTACCAACAGAGCAAACGAAAATGTGACAACATTAATGAGGAAGCAGAAGACGAAATGGACAAGGACGAGCTTGCGACACAGCCTCAAGTAGTTCAAGAGACCACAGCCACCACACAACAGCAATCCAGTCTGCCGTTGCAGAAATTGACTCCGGATCACAGTGCCGTGGAATTGGTGCAAGTCATGCTGCCCGCCGATTGTGTCAGCAGTACGGGTTTGGTGGCCGGTGGCGTCGTCATGAAGCTCATGGACAATGCGTGTGGTGTGGTGGCCGTTCGACATTGCGGTACCAACACGGTCACGGTCTCGGTCAATTGCGTCAATCTGGTGTCCCCGGTGCTCTTGGGAGACATTCTCAAGATTCGAGCTCGCCCCGTGTTTACGTCGGCCAAGAGTATTGAAATCATGGTGAAGGTCACGGCCGAACGATTCTCTCTGGACGACAGCAGTGGAACGTTGATGCGACAAGAAATTGTGACAGCCGAGCAAGCATTCTTTACCTTTGTGGCATTGCCAATCGTCATGAGCAGCAGCAACAATAATAATCGTTCAGACGGATCTGTAATAGCTTCCCTGCCAATGACGCCATTGCACCTGGAAAGCCCAGACGACCAGGCCCTCTATGAACAGAGAAGAGTCAAATACAAGCAACGCAAAGCATCGCTTCAACGAGTCATGGCAAAACTGTAACGAATTATACTACAAAAGCTTCAATCCGCCCTTCCGAAATCTTTATACCAATCTACAGTAATTTGGAGTTCCTAACATTAGCTAAGTTCTCCAGGGATGAATATTCCTGGCTATGCATAGGAGAGAATCTCGTCTATTTCACTTTTCACACGGCAGTGTGCTGCCTCTTTAGGAAAACGAAAAGAACCAATCATCCCCATCCAATTCGAAACTACGGTACGGTAGCTAGCCAAACCTATCGTTCGAGAAGCAGCAACCATCATCTGCAAGGGCCCGGTTGAAGTGATGAATGATGAATCCCTGCCTGCCCTTCACTCCAATCGCAAGAGTACGTATTGTGCCCAATGAAGGGCACCATGGAAGTGGGGTACCGGTAAGATAAGAACTTGCTAATTTCAAGTCTACTGCTCCCACTCACCAAAATCTTGACACCCTCTTGCCCCAACAGCTTGTACCATGTCCAACTGAAAGATCTTTGCCTATGATTTCTTGGCCATCTGGAACCGGCTTGGTAGCCTACTAGTACTAGCTAGAGTCACCTGCAAAACGTACTTCAGGTTGCCAGCGACAGATGCTTTGCCCTTTGCCCTGTCCAACAGTAAAAGCGGCTTGTATCATTGTTTGTGACCCAATCTGGAATTGCAATGCCATAAAGACTCAAAGGTATAATGTAATCCGTCCTTGGCAGCTCCTTCGATGTGCTTCGTTTTAGTTCGGTGACACGATCTTTCTCAGCCAAACATGCCTCGGTTGGATGGGCCGCGTGCAATTATGAATATTCGGACCAAACCGAATCGAATCGTATTGGTTTAGCTTTTGAATGACGCTTCAAGGGTTCACTGAAATCCGAACCGAACTATTCCTGTTCGGTCCCGTTGACGGACGACCGACCACTCAGCTCATCAGAGAACAACGGCCGAGCCGATCTTTGGCTGAATGATCAGAGAGGTATTGGCAGATTGCTCGGCCAAAACCACACAAAAGCACGACCGCTGTCCCACAAATCCAAAGACAAATTTCCTCTCATTCCTTTCCTCTCTCTTCTCTGTGAGCATCATCACCATGACCGACAAGAACCAAGGCTCTGCTGTTGTGGTTACTGGAACGGCTAGTACAATGACTGGTGGCGGCACGACGAAACCCAAGAAATCCAAGAAAAATTCGGCGGCTCGGCACAACAAGGGTGCCGTCACGACTGACGGTTCTGCCACGAGTGGCAACAAGGCCAACAGCAATGGCGTGCCTCCTCATGCTGGTGGCGGTGGCAAGGGAGGCAACAACAAGAACAACAACAACAAACCAGCTCAGCGCGCCAATCATGGCCACCACCACAATCACGGCAATCAAGGCCAATGGAATCACCATCAGCCTCATCTTTCGTCTCATCATGGAAATGTTCCTCATGGTCAAGGCGGCTGGTGGCACGCCAACAACGGCAACCATAACAATGGCAACCCTCCATACTACTGGAGTCCCCAAGGTGGCATGGGCGGTCCTCCTCATCCTCCTCATGGCCAATCGTATGGATTTGCTCCTGCTGCCGTCATGAATGGTTCTTACATGCCTCCTCCTGGTCCGAATGGATTTGCCCCTCCCTACAATGGCAACAGCCACTACGACAGCAGCAACAACAGCAACAATTATGCTCCTTACCCACACCAAGAGTACTACCCGTCACAGCAGGAATTTTACTACGCTCCCGTCATGGCGCAAGGATTCGTGGCTCCAATGACGGCGGCGACGGCGGCACCGGGAGGATATTTCCCTCCTCCGCCCATGTACCACGTCAACAACAATTACTACGAACAGCATCAACATCCGCAAGATCCTGCGTACAACAGCCACGAACATGGCTACGCGGACATGAATCCAGCCCATGTCAATCAGACACAGCAGCAGCCAGCAGTCCCGTCGTCGGCGTCGTCCTCCAATGACGGCGATGATACGCCGCAAAAGGAAGAGAGTTGGGAAGACGACACCACCATGGCATCCACCATGGCCACTAGCACCGATCCAAAAGAAGACGACCAAGAAGCTCAGCTCTTTTCCTCGTTGTCGTTTGATCACATTCAATGGCAACTTCCCACCCTACAAGAAGACGAATGCGCCACCATGCATCAGACACTGGTCAATGGATGCCGCACGCTTGCCAAGATTCGCGACGCCGCGGCCGAGAGCGATCAGCAGCAGCAAGCGCAGTCTACCATTCTGTCGCTCAAACTCTTTCTCGAACTCGAACGATCGTTGGAGTTGGCGCACTTTAACGTTCCCACCGTATTGGAAAAACTATGGAAGGATGCCGAACAGTTTCGTCAACAACAGAATGGAAAAAAGAACAACAACAAAAAGAAACAAGAACTCCCCAAGGCACTCGTGCGACAAATCAATACCGCCCAGACCATTGTCAATCATTTGGAGCTCGCCGATCACGTCATGAATGTGGCGCGATTCCAGCTCTACTGTGGCAATGGCAACAACAGTACGACTAGTACGACGACTCCTGCCATTATTACGCATTACACACCACCCACCATTCGATTCTTGTTGCGCGACAATGTGGATCCCGAAACGGGAGAATCCAATGGTCGACTCCAAACCATCTCGTTGGAACAGATTCAACAAGAACTTCGGCTGACGACGTTTGAACAAACGCAATCGGTATCGCGCTGGGGATGTACCAACATTCTCTTTCAGCTCTCGGAATTGGGATGGATTGCCAATCCCAACATTCAAACCACACTGAGTGCCTACAAGAAAGGTGGCGTCATTAATGATGTCTTGTTGGATCGCATTCATTATTCCAAACACTTGCACACCGCATCGTTGCGAGGACTGTTGGCGATCTACTTGGGATTGGTCCCCGATCAGTACCGTGGATTCAACGTGGTCTTTCAGCACAAAGACACTGAAATCTGGGAGGTAACGGCTGCCGACGCAACAACCACAACCACAACCAGTACTACGGAGGGCGGCTACAGCAAGAGCACCAAGAAAACCAAGCGCCACAGCAAGACCAAACAAACGGAGGAGGAGGAGGACGACAAACAAACCACCAAGGCCGACGGCAAGGTCGCCAAGAAGGACGATCAGAAAGGCGTGGCCGGTAAGGACAACAAGATGGAGAAGTCGTCCAAGGATTTACCCTACTCGGACGAACACTTTCCGCCCCTCCCGGCCCCTTCGGTCGATGAGACCAAGTCCACGACGACGGCGTCTGCTGCTACAAATAAGCCCAAAAAGCACTGGAACAAGAAAAAGGGTCGTGGAAAAGGAAAACGTGACAACAAGGAAAACAACAACAACAATAAGACCACCACCACCGGACCACAAGAACGGTAGACCCAAGACAATGACGACGACAAGTGACCAAACAAAAAGTACAAGTGACGGTTCACGGGGAAACAACAAAGACGACGACGAGCACAATCAATTCTGCCAATGCGTGCTCCAACTTTTTACATGTTTAGTACAGTAGCTAGCTACCAACCAGAAGATGATGACGGCACAGCAAGTGACATTCATCTTTTTCTTTTTAATTAGATAGAACAACAACATAATAATGTAGCTGACAAAAATAGACACACCGAAAGGTGATCTCTAGCTAGTTAGCCAGCTGGCTAGGCGAAGTTTTGGAAGGACCATATTCTCCCTTGGCCCTCGGCTGCCGACCTCACACCCACCGACGTATCACCATACAGGAGAGCGTCGCTCTAGCTATGACATAAAGCTAGCTACCCTAGCGAGCTAGATTCGATTGGAGTGGGGATCTGCGAACAGAAATGCTAGGTAACAGAAAACGGACTAAAAAGAACAACACCAGGGATTCCAACGTGGTCCCCCACCGTAGTACTAACCTGGCCCGACGATGCTTAACTTCGCTGAGCAGACGGGAAGCGGTGCTGTCATCGTGGTATGGTCGTTCCTACAGGTATCAAAGGTGCAAAAGTATACAAATTCTGTCTCTAACACCGTCGTTTGATTTTTGGCCAGGTCCTTCGGTTTTGGGCTCGCGACAACTTGAATCGAATCGAATCTGTGCTGGGTGCTCACATCCTTGCAGGATGCTGAAGGTGGACTCGACTCTTGTGTTCCAGAATCACGAAGACCATACAAAAGTTTATCTCGCACTAGCCGCTCTCTAGAGCTAGAAAGAAGGAAACCATGAAAGGAACCCACCCGGCTGTATGGATGGTCATGTTGACCTTGATACTAACACAATTTCTCCTGGATGAACGGTTTGTGTCAGTGTTTGCAAGCATGTACAAGACGCCCCATGAAAATCGCGGGTTGCAAGAGGTAACGAAAACGCCCCAAGAAAGACGTGGGTTGCAAGAGGCAACGACGAAGCAAGATTTTCAGCATGATGCTGAGGTTGGAGATGAAACGCCTGATAACGCTTCTTTTCAGGACGAATGTGCTTTTGTTCGTAACTTAACTTCCTTTTATGCCAGGCACAACAAGAAGCCTCCAACGACCACTGTCGTTGTGACTGCCAACCTGATTCCAACCATGCCCTCCACAGCCATCTTTGAGGATACTCTGGACTCATTGTCCATGCTCATTGGTCTTGAACCCAACACACCCATTATTGTTACTGTGGATGGACTTGAGAATGCCAAGGACACGCCTGAACACCGCAAGGACACGCCTGAAAACCGACAACGTCTGCAGGAATGGGTGTCCCGTGTTCGGTCCATGTTCAAGTGCCATCCTAGTGTTCAAGTTCTTACAAACTTTATTCATCAACAGCAAACCAACCTCCTTCGAATGACGATGGAGCAAGTCACAACTGAATTCGTCTACGTGATAGAGCATGACTTTCCTTTCACCAAGGAAATTGATCACCAGCTGATGGTCCGGGCCATTCGCAATGTCCCCGAACTCGAGATTGTCCGATTCAACAAGCGCTGGAATGGGAACATTAAAGACTTTATGGGTGGCTGTCCACACTCAAACTTTACGTTTTCCGGCATGAATTTCTTTCACGTGAAATGGTCCAACAACAATCACTTCACCACCAAGGCTTACTATGACTGGATGCTGCCACAGCTTGGTACAGCATTACGACCACCGGAGCATAAAATGATGGCTCTGCAAAAGTACAACTGTTCCCATTATGGACAACACATGTATGGTCCATGGAGGGCTGGATGGTACTTGCATCACATCAATGGAAAGAGGGAATCCTATAACCGCACCCACACGTGGAACAATCACAAGAGATGCCCCAACTCCACAGCAGACGTACCATCGTCCGTGTTGCCATGGGTGAGGTGTCCAATGGAATACATGACTATCTAGCTAGCTAGAGTTAGTGAAGGAAGGAACCATATTATCACGAGATGAAATCGAGAAAGCGCAGTCTCGGAAAGAAACCTATATATCGGGGTCCAAAGATCCAATAGCTACATTTCTAAAAACACCTTTACACTGATGAAACCATTCAGAGGAACTGATCCGTGCCAAGCCCCTGCCTGCTGTCTGCTGGTGCTGTCGTCCCATCGCATGGCCCTTCTTCTGCTAGCTGCAAGCCTCTGCCTAGCTGCTACCAGGTACCGGTAGCTACTCTGTAGCCGTTCTTGAACCTCTAGTTTTAGCCAGCAGCTACCGCACCGTACCGTTGGCTACTGGCTACCCACTGTCTATCGGTACCGTTAGCCAGGAGCAAAAAGGATATAGATCCCCAAATAGTGAAAGCTCTTGCTTCAAGTTGGATTTACGAAAAGGGCAGCGGGCAATAGGCCGTTTCAAGGTGCTTACAGATGATTATCACCAAGAGCTTACACTGGTCACACAAGAAAGAACAGCCAAAACACAAGCCGCACAAGCGAGCGGTGGTGGGAGGCCGACATGAAACACACAACCTACCTCAAGCAGCCAATGCGAGGTAAGGAATACCTGGTACGACTGTAAAGAGCATTCCCTCACAGTCAGGCAATCAGGTGGCAGCAGGAGTGCGAGGAGGGAGACAACACCCTTTCCTATTTCCACTCAATTGTTCGTGTTTGCCCATCCCAATCTCCAATCTCGCTAGCTAGATGCCGTCGTTTGAGAGTGTGCTGCTGACCCTGGCTCCAGCCACCTCAGGCATCCTGTCCTTGGTGGGGTCTAGCTGGATTATTTGGATGTTGGTACCCAAATGTCGTCAACGAAGCAGCAGCAGCAATGACAATAAGCTGGATCAAGTCAAGTATCGTCTCTTGCTGGGAATATCCGTGACAGACGTCTTTTTCTCGTTGGTGATTCTGCCATGGGCACTCTACATGCCCGCCAACGACACGGATGTATGGGGAGCCATGGGAAATAAACAGACATGTGCTGCACAAGGGTTTCTGATTCAACTGGGTCACATGTCTAGCTTTTACCAGGCCGGTTTGAGCCACTACTACTACACCACCATTTGCCATGGCATGAGCAATCAAGACTTTCGACGGTACTATGAACGCATCATTCACGTCAGTGCCGTGGTTTGGCCACTTATCACAGCCGTGGCTGCCTTGGTGATGGACCTATACAACCCAATGTCCATTGGATGCTGGATGGCACCATATCCATTGGGATGCAACATCGATGGCAGTGATATCCCCTGTCAACGAGGAAGATGGGCACCCGTCTTTGCCTATGTCTTTACCGGGATTCCCGTGTCTCTCTTCATGACTTATATTGGATACACCATGCTACAAATATACTTTAAAGTTAGAAGTGTCAGCAAGAGGGCGTTGCAAATGAGTCATGCTCTTGCCATCAAAAGTGACGACGAAACACAACACCGACCATCCCAACGAAGACACAGCATCACCGCTGGCATGGCTTCCACTGTGCCAGTACAGCAGTACTCCTCCCAAGCATTGGGCAACACTCATCCTCGTCCTTTACGACGAGCCAGTATAACTGGCGGCATGGCATCCACAGTGACTGATGCACTTTCCATCAAAAGCGACCAAGAAATACAACACCGACCATCCCAACGAAGACACAGCATCACTGCCGGCATGGCCACCACGGTACCAGTACAGCAGTACTCCTCCCAAGCATTGGGCAACAGTGACATACGCACGTCTATGACGTGGCGCTTTAACGCTAGTTTTAAGTCTAATCTCACAATATTCCGATCGTAGTTCACTCTGAATTCAGAAGCAAGTTCGGTTGGAATTTGCACATCAAGCAAAAGAAACTTCCTGCGTACATTCTACGCAGCCGTATACTAGGCGTTTGGCCATGTCAAACAATTTCGAAAATACTCGATTTCTATTAACAACGTAACTCAAGGGTGTAACTCAAACGAAGTTACTCTCTTTTTCTTTCATTATCATTACTTGCGACTTTACTAACCAAAGCCGCAAGTACTGTTGTTTGTTATTTACTTTAGTCATTATCTCACCATGACACCTTGGTCAGTCGGGCAAGAACCGGTCATTCCTTGGTCTCTGAGTAAATTCTGGCGAGGTCGCTACTACCCAGTTGTTCCGTTCTTGGCAAAATGCTGGTAACAACGTCAACGTAAGCATGACATGATTGTAATGGCAGACGAACAAGAACCGGAACACGTCCTTCGGGTATCAAGGAGTTCGATCAATGACCGGCAACTCAGCCTTGAATTTGGAACCGGGTACATTGAGGGCTAACTTCTTTGTCAAGATGTCTTCAAAGCTCTGCTCGAGACAAATGGAACGTGATTCGAGCAGCCGTCCTGGTGCAGCTGTTGCTGACTTCGATGCCTGTATTAATTGTTCTTGCAAGTTCGTTGAGACACGGATCTCGCTGATCGACTCGATACCTGAGATGACGCGACCTTCAAGCTCGATTGCGACCTTGTGGTCTCGGTTGGAGTACATCAACACCTTGATGGCGAAGTTTCCTGGCGCAACAATGCGAACCCTTTGATGCTCTGCTCTCAAGATGATGTTTTATAACATGATGCTTCCCCAGGGGAAAGACAAGTTTGCCGATTCGTCATGATTACGGTAATTGGTCCCCGTGATTGGTTTGCTTCTTTGCCCGTCAAGAAAGGAATTACAACGCTCGCAACAAGGCTCACGTGGGTTGGTGGTCGCCGGGTTTTCGTGGTCCGTTCAGGCGCGGACATGGAGGAGTGGGCGCTCTTCTGGCTATCGTCTTACCTATGGACAAGACGATGTGCCTCGAGCTGGTTACTATCCGCCTTCCCAGCGTTTCCCTCGTGGAGGATGGAGTGTGCTCTACCTGGACGTACACGTAGTCCTCCTCGAGAATACCACGTGGACAACCAGACGGCAGCAACGCAACAACACTTCTCCGGTGCGCAATTTGCCGGACGTTTCGGACGTTGTGGCTATGCCTCATCACCTTCGTGGTCGTGGACGTGGAGTGGTTACAGTCCTCGCCGTGATAATTTTGTGGCTGCGGTGATGTTCGCGAAGACGATGTGTACCACGTCGAAGACAATCCACAGAGGTTCCTGCGGCTGCTGAATGCCGCCTCCTGAAGAAAAAGAAGAGATGTATTATCAGGAGAGCCCCATTACTTTGATTTCATGACAGGGGGTTACGATTACTATGACGAGTCCTATGATACGGTGGGATTACTGACTTCGAAAGGGTCTTTGAGAATTATGCCGCGGGGCTGAAGGAATCAATGTTGACAAGGAATTGGTGCCGATGGCCTTTTGCGTCCTAATAGTATACAAAATAAACGTCTGATAGACCGTTATTAATCCTGATGGACTCTGGTTCTGTGGAACCTGGATTAGTGACAAGGCGTTGCCTAAGGGACAGTCCCTCGTATTGGGACGTGTGTCTACCACCACACTGCTGGCAACGTCACTCGAACCGTGTGTTACTTAGACCGGTTGTGTTTTTCAGAGTTCTACAAGTCCCGTTCATTGATGTCGCTCCTGCTCGCGTCTTTTCTGCGAACAATGTTCGGTATGACATGATATTGGACGCGACATCCTCTTGAGATGGGATTGAAGATTGATTTCAGGGACACAAATGACATGGAGAGGTCAGCATTGACATGAGACCCTTTTACGTCTTCTGTTGACAAGAAGACTCCTCTGCTACCTCGATGTTCCTTGACCTTCGAAGCAGATCTCGAAGATGACGATTCCTGCTCTAGCAGTTCTACCGATTGTTTTGAGACGATGTGGTACGTTTGGGAAAATGTCCCCGAATCCGAAAAAGAGTTTTATGTTTCGCAACTCGTGAAGAAGGGAGCAGACTTGGGTTTAGAAAACAAGAACATCCTCGAATCTAAGTATGAAGGGCCGACTTACCGCCGTGGTCTGTCCTGTACTCATCTCTCTCAGAACAACAATGACCTTCGTGGTGTCCTTGGAAGTATGATACCTTGTTCAGTCTGAACTTGGCAAATACAATGGCGGACAGATTAGTTTGTAGATTGATCCTACAGCTTCTCCGCATCGAAGCCGACACTTACTGTTCCTCATCACCACAAACATCTTTCAAGAAAGATTGGATGGTTGGTTTCCCTTGGCATTCTTGAAGAAGGAGTCTTCCGAATGGATTGCTGGGACTTTCATCATTCGAAGAAGGACGGTAGAGAGCAGGTGGATCTCTGATTTCCGTGGTCTCACAAGGGCATTTAAAGCAGGTTTACCGATTCTCGCCATTGCGGGATTTTTTAGCTCGGCAAGAATATGCATTCTTACAATTGGTATTCGATGCCGTATACACGTTGAATCTTTGTACGATTTCAGTTCCGAATTGTGTACCATTGCTACACCGTTTGGGTTGTACAAGTAAAGACGACTACCTATGGGCTATTTCTCAATCTCCGGATATCTGCTAAAGAAATCATGGAAAGTTACTAAAGCTCTTGACGACATCAAGGTTTATCATCGCTGATTGGATTTCAGCCTCGATTGGCTTTCTATCTCGACAGCTAGATAAGTACCTCAAGATTCTAAGAGGCTGGATTCAAATCAATCTCGTTGAATGTGAATGCGGCCGTGACAAGAAACGATTTTCTGGCGATTGGTTGACTCCTGTTGGTGTTAAGCCTATTGGCAAAGAAAGCTAGCGCGCTCCTGGACATGAAAGGCTACACGGGCTTCAACAACCGCGTTTCGTTCTTTGGTTTTGGTGATTTCCGGATATGTTGCGCTCGTCGTTCTCCACTTGGACACTTTGACAAAGCTGATCAGGTCCAAGAGTTTGAGTGTGCACCGTACGCAAGAAACCAGCTTTCAAGCCATGAAAATGCTGGGGCAGCAGAACATCTGGCTGGATATCCGGATCAAAGTTGCTTTCGAGATGATCGGACGCTAGTGATTACCAGCTCGGTGGAGCTATAAACAAAATGGACGGATTGTGGCTTACTACTCCCGCAAACTAACTCCGCCCAAAAGAAATATACTACAATTGAAAAGGAACTGCTCTCCATTGTTGAAATCTTCAAAGAGTTTCGGTCTATGTTATCGGAGCTCGTTTCAATTGTTTACTGATCATAAACCTTACTCACAAACTTTCCGCTTTAAACTCAGCGTGTTATGCGATGGCGATTACTATTGGAAGAGTTTGGTCCAACTTTCATTACAAGCCGGGCCCCAGAACGTCTTGGCGACGCCCTCAGCCGGGTGCCCACTTCGCGAAGATCGTGACTGCCGATTCCGATCCCTCACATCTAACGATGGTCTATTCCATTTGGAGGAGAATCAGTGGTTGGCTGAATGTTTGATGCATTCAGACGATGGTATGAAATCTTTCCTGGAGCATCCTACATTCGACGGCGAAGGAAGAAATCCTATCAATTTCTCGGTTCTCGCCGAGTACCAAGCGAACAGTGCAGTTTTGAAACAGACCGTGGTTGACACCCGGCGGTTGTGGTTGACAACCCGGAACGGTTTTTCAAAAAGATGTTTGGAAACAGTGAGCTGATATGCTTTCGTCAGAATGACGAGGACAAGATTGTCCTAACAAAAGAGTTGCTTCCCAAGTTGGTCAGCTTCTATCACAAATCCATGGCACATGTCGAAGGCATGGATCGTTTAGAACAAACGATCAAGACACACTTCTACCATAGAGGTATTCGCGACGAAGTCCGAAAACAAATTGAGCAGTGCGAAGCATGTGCAAAGAACAAACGAGCACGACGTGCTTATGGAGAATCTGCTCCACGTGATGCTACGGCGATGCCCTGGCAAGAAGTCCATTGTGACACAATCGGTCCGTGGACGATTGAGTTACGACAACGGACATTGACTTTCAATGCTATGACTATGGTGGATCCTTGCACAAACTTGTTAGAGATTGTGCCTATTATGCGACGAACGTCGGAAGAAGGTGCTCGAGTGGTCGAAGATACATGGTTTGCTCGGTATCCCCGACCTAAGAAAGTGGTCACGGACAATGGTCCTGAGTTCAAACTGGAGTTCATTGCGATGGTTAAAAAGAATGGTGCTGTGCATCGCTACTCGACCCCTCGTAATCCACAAGGTAACTCGATGATTGAACGAACTCATCAGGCAATTGGTCAAGTATTGCGTACTATTGTGGTTTCGCGCGATCCCAAGAGTGTTGCTGATGGGATCAAGGTTATTTCCGAAACTTTGGCGACAGCGATGCATGCTCATCGTTGTTCCGTGCAGAGTACGAACGCGTATCTCACTCCTGGTGCTCTTGCCTTCAAACGAGATATGTTTCTTGACATTCCTATTTATGCAGACATCTTGGCCGTGCAACGACACCGTCAATCCTTGGTTGACAAACGTTTGCTACGGGCCAATGCTAAACGCATTTCCTATGACTACGCAGTCGATGACCTGGTCTACAAGCGTGCGTATCTCGGTCTCAGTGATAAGTTGAAGCCTACGGCTTCTGGTCCCTATCGTGTTTCCCGCGTTCATACCAACGGCAACATAACGATTCAACTCAGTGCTCATCAGTTTGAGCCCCTGAACATTCGGCGCGTGTTTCCAAAGCATCCAGTACCTCCGGTTGCCACCAGTACGGGTTATTGAGGTTCCCCTGATTCATTTTCTAAATGTTACTGATGCTCGGCGCCTATTGTTGCCTCACAGTGGAGGAGAGTGACATACGCACGTCTATGACGTGGCGCTTTAACGCTAGTTTTAAGTCTAATCTCACAATATTCCGATCGTAGTTCAACAGTCGTCCTCGTCCTTTACGACGAGCCAGTATCACTGGCGGCATGGCATCCACAGTGACAACTGACAACAACAGTAACAACAACAATCCGCAGCGAAACACGGATCAAGCCCGCATACGCAACACTGCCATTCAAGCATTCTACTACGTCCTGGCATACAGCATGACCCATACATTTGTCTTTTTGGCGGCCAACTTTGACTACTTTTTACCCTCCGGGTCGCCCTTTCTCCTCACCCTGCTGGGAGTCTTTTCCTTTCCACTGCAAGGAATTCTCAATGTATTCATCTTTTTGAGACCCCGGATACACGTCCTGCAAACACGAGATTCATCCCTCTCGTATTGTAGAGCCGTCCATTGGGCCACCTTTCATTACGACGATGGTCGCAATCGTGCCACCGATTCGGTCGTTCTTCCCACTGCCAATAATATCAAAAGCAGCAAACGCAGTTTGGGCAGCAGTAGCAACACGACAAGCGTCCTACTACAAAACAGCTCCAAGACGGGTGAAAGCAGCAAATTCTTTGTGGCGAATAATACGACTACTGCCGGTGTGAATCAAATACCCATTACGGTTAGCAGCAACAGCGATGAAGTCAGTGATGAAGATGACAGCATGGTCTTATCGGAGCCACCAGAAGCGGTTGCTACTGCAATAGATATACAACAAGAAGATGTTAGGGCAACAGAGGGAGACCCTAGACCATCAAAACTATGTCACATAAAGGGGGGTTCCAAAGAAGGATGGGTGGGTGCTGCTGGGGATGGCGTGAAGCATGGCGAGGACATCAACGACATGTCCTTTCTCAGCGAGGGAAGTGAGCGGGAAGCGTAAAGGGTAGCAATTACTGTAATGTATTACGAGTGCACTGACCTATTTGTCGCGAAATGCTTGTACCGTACTCCTAGCAATCGGTAGCTGGAGCCAGCTACCAGGTACAACTAAATGTATACATTTGTTTGTGGTTGCTTGGCCGGAGAGTATCCTTCTTCTGGAATGGTCCGTGTACCGGTACCCACGGTGAGGGTTGGGAAGTGTAGAAATTGCACCCTTTGCAGCCAGGCAGCTATTGATTCGATTCATCTCAAGAGCCGAATTGAGACTTGTGCAAGGATAGCTAGCCTTGGACCTTGGCATCCAATGGAACATGAAGGCCAAAGCTACGCTGGAGCTAGCTAGCTAAAGAAAAATCCGCTTCGAGGGTGAGGTCGTCGTAGGAGAGCACCGGTACGGTACAAATAAATGCAAATGTTGTACTCTCGGTGGTTACGGTTGCTGTCTACCGGTACCATCTGTACACTAGTACCGGTACCAGTACCGCACACCACACCGGTTATCGAATCTGAAGCATGAATCGAATCAATCGAATCGCACTCGTTGGTACCGGTACCGCTACCGGTACAGATCTCGGGACAGCGGGATTTGTTCATGCACCCTTCGACTCTTCTCATTCATCATTTACGACGCAACGACAGAACCTTAGCTGGCTCTGGAACCTTGGCTGTCCATTCAAAAGGTTGGTTCCACCTCTGCAATAGCACTATGGAACCCGATGGCATTGTTGCTGGTTTTGAAGGCTTGGACGAGCCATCCATCATGCCCCCTGAACGCAATACCGGTGGCTGGGAATACCTCGAAGAATCAGGTTCCGCAGACGAGGACTCCAATGGCACCGAAGAAGAACGCCTTGACGAGGCACTATACCATGATGGGTCTAATAAACGAGCCTGCAACAACAACGACAAGAAGAAATCTGATGGGAATATGGGGGCATACGAGGCTGACGTTGAATCGAGCGAGGACGAATCATCTACAACTTCTGAAAACAGTGACGGCAAAGTCATCATGACACAGTTGGCAGCGGACCTTCTTCAGCAATATGATCCTTCCAGAATGCAACTGACAAAAGAAGAGCGCCAGTGGGCCGTTGCCATAAAAACTGCAATTGAAAACATCCCAGATCTTGATAATTTGACGGATTTCATGTATGCCCAGTTTGCCATTGTTTCTCAAGGCAATGTTGACGATGCCATTGCCAGGGCGTACCGACTTAAAGAGCATAAGGAAGAAAATGAAATAATGGATACATTGGATGATGCACTGAGGAATTTGCCCAAAGATGATAACTATTTCCTCTCTATTGACTACAATCTCCAATCCGGTGGCTACATTGTTGCTTTGGATATTACCAAGGCCAAAGGGGCTAACTGGAGGATTCCAGAGGAAACACGCTCCTACAACCGCAGGCAATATTATGCTTCCTATATGACATTTTGTGATTTGGAGGCACTCAGGGGTGGTGTTACTGTTCTTCTTGAATGTGAGGGGCACCAGATGGTCAAAGGGAAATCGTTTGACTTGAATGCCTTTAAATCCGTTTGGAGGAGTGTGCATGCCCATCCAAGACATATCGAGCAAGTCAAATTTTTTAATGCTCCTCCACACTTCAAGATGATGGCGTCCATGGCAAAATCCGTATTGCCCAGAGAAGTCACATCTAAATTCCATCTTTCTGCCAAATGTCCATTGGGAAGACTGGACCGGCTGTACTCTCTCCCAACCCCGGAAATAGCAAAAGCAAGGTTGCAGGGGCGAATGAAAGGGCTTCTAGAGAAACGATATACCAATGAGGCAAATTTTAGTCTCGATGACCATGCCACTTTGGTGGGGAAGGTTTGAGTGCCGGACAAATAAATGCACTCATCTAACCTATAAGATACTTCATGAGGTTATTTTAATAGTCTACATGTATTGTAGGATACAAGCTGGCTGTTGCAATGGGCGATCCAGGGATGTTTCCACGACGTGGACTGTGGAAATTACCAAGATTGAGATGGCTTCTCCTTCATAATTTCCCATGACTGGTACCAGGTACCAGGTACTACATGACACATGTATGTTATGCACCGTTACGGTGATGAGGGTACCGTAAAGATATGGTAATACTCCCTTGCCCTCCACGAAAAAGGAATCAATGTTTCCCCCATAGACTATCGACTACTAGTCCCTCTAATCGCACAGTAATCCACTTTCTCCCTTTCTACCTTTCTCCCTTACAACACGTGAGCACAGCACAAGCCAACAACAGACAGAAGCTGATAGAAGAAGAAGAATGGAATACATGTATCTATTGAACATTGGTTTAGAACTGTTTACAGATGAACAGATCGAAAAGGTCGTTGGAGACACGAAGGATTTGGTTGTGTGCTTCGCCTACCATCTCCTCTCAATGCCATTCTGGATCGTATTGAGTGCTTCCTTGGCCGTCAAGCAAATGGTAATCCTACCTCGCATGCAGAAGCATTACAAGCGAACCCTCGGGGAAAGGACCAAGCTACGCAAGCGACGGCTCCGCGATACATTAAACGATCCAGTGCTGACCTTGCAAATGGAAGATAGCATTCTCTTGCGACCAGACATTCAAGGCGACCGACACAAGATGCTGCAATTCATGCAACAGATTCGAGACCATGCCAATTCACCGGATGAAGATCAGGTTGATGATCAAGACGAAAAACGCGACAATACCACCAAGGGGCTAGAAAAGTACGAAGCTGCCTTGGTTCTGTGCAGAGGGACCATTGTCCTATCCGTCTTGTTTTATTGTGCGTGTACAACCTCTAGCTTCTTTAGTGCCATACACACCACTTCTTTCGGCTGGGGTTCTGATCTGGATGACAGCACCTTGGTTAGTACTTACATGTACGACCCTTTGTACATGTACGACCCGAAGTCCTCCATCCCTTATTACAAAACTTACAAAATTTACAAGAGGCAACATGATGATATCCGCATGTTGGAGTTGGACATACAGAATGCTATGTACAACTTCTGTGACGATGGCATGGAGTTCCTGTACACAGTCTGGTTCTGCTTGATTCACATGGCGCACAGCTACAAGATTCTCTATGATGCATCTGCCCACAAGAAGAGGAGCAAGTCCACATCTACGCGCCAGAGGGAAAACACTGAAAAGAATGACAACGTCCCAGATCTGGAGCAGCCCTTGCTAGCTAGCTAGCAGCGCAGACGCATTGGTCAGGAATGCCGACGGTAGCCTTCCAACCCAATAAGGACGATTGAATGATTCAATCATTATGTTGCGTAGAATGGAATGCCAAGATCGCTCGTAGCTTGAGCTGATTTTTGGGGCATTTTCTAATAGAACGTCAGTGACGCCAACGAGACTACACCCCCCCAGCTTCATAAGGCCCCAAGCCACAGTGGAGATGAAGCAACCACTTGAGGCTGATGGTGGCTACCGTTCCGTGTGATGATACCCCGATAACTGGAGCTGCGAATGTTTTCATGAGTACATAATAATGTCCTTCTTGTGTGGATTGTTCTTAGGTAAAGTTACACATACATGTTTTAATCTGCAAGCTGTGTCATGTTCCTTCGTGGGGGTATCTATAGCCAGTGCCCTCGTTTGTTCTTGCGCGGCGACATCCGAAAAAAGACAGACGGACGCGCCTTAAGCCGAGTTCCCAAAGAAGGGACATTGCCGTGGATGATGGTAGCTCTTCTTCTTCACTTGCTAGCCTACTTCAACCAGTTGATCAAGAACATTGCAAAAACAACGGTGACGCCCACTACCGTAGCACCAATCACATACCGTGAATGCCACTTGCAGGGTTGTTTGACTTCTTCGCCTTCTTTGTAGCCCCCCTCCTCATCCACAGCGTCGAGCCTGCGGACTTGCATTCGGGTAGGGTCTGGTCGTCAAGGAAACAAGAGGCAGGAATCGACATGATAATGATGAGAGAGTGATTTATTTGATTTGATTCGATTCGAACAAGGGATCCCCAGCAACTTACCAGATGACTGTACGAACTCACCCGATGTACCATCTTCGAGAAACTCGGTGTGACTGTTGCACGAGATGTCAATATCCTCCTTTGAAGCCATGGTGATGCTGGTGCTGCTTACAAGGTCAGTGGAAACAAACAGAGATACTTCCAGGCCCGAAAATTATGAAGGGCAGAACAAGAATAATGGAAATGGAGCCGAGCTTTCTCTTGCTTATTCCAATACAGTCTCAGAGTAGGTTATCACAACAACACCGAAAGAAGGATGGTCGTGGGCGGTGTCAAAAGAATGACTGTTGTTCTGGTGGATTTTTCAGTGGCCAGTGATATTAGCTCCAGTGATACTGAAGCCAGTACCAAAAGGACCCGGCTGGCTAGCCGCGGGGAAGCTTTTCGTCTTTTCGTGGATCTTTCCCATCCTTCTCTCGCACCTCGTACAGTTATGGCGTACCAGTACAGCCGCTGAAGTACCCCACAAGAATGGTCATCAGATTTAAAGATAGAGGGGTATCGGGGTATCCAAACATCCAAACTACTAAAATAGTACTACTAGTAGTAAATAGTATGAGTACGAGGTACTCCAGTACACACTTTTGACCATTGACATCCCTGTAGATTGTTCACCTAATCCCTGACTTAAATAGTTCACGAAAACCAATGCCTCAATGATAAATCTCTGATCAGAAGAGGTAGCATAGCGATTTATTGTATTCGTTACACTGTGCTCTCTATTCTACCCATATGACTCTCAGTCGCCCATTCCGAAGTCATTCTGATTCCTAAACAAAAGTATCCTACACTGTACCGGTACTAGCTAGTACTAGTCTAGTAGTACGTCAGCTGCGGTGTCAATTTTTGGACGGGGGGTAGCTGGAGTTTGGCTGTCACTGTCATCACGTTCAAAGAGCCGAGGAAGGAAGTACAATAGGGAAGTGGTTGTTCAACCCATCCAACTTGTGTCAATCGAGTAAACAAACAGTCGTCAACATACACACATACAGTACGAACCACCTCTATTGATATCCTCGAAAGAGCGCTGGATGGATCCACTATGAAGCCTCAAGCCTTCCTACTTATCCTTGCTCTGTGTTTGAAACGCGTCAATGCCTTCCAACCACTCCTCCCCCTGCCATCATCCTACAGGACCGACCCTCTCTCGGAACTGACAGAGAAGGCTGCAAGCGGTGCTACTCGTAGTCCATCGGCACGTTTTGCTGATCCAGTAGACGCTCGAGACCCAGCGCTGTCGACGAAAACGCAACAGAACTCTAGTAGTACTACAGAATCCTCAGCTGCACCCCCTCAATACGTCATGCCTCCTGATCCACAAGGCACACCAAACATGGGTCCTCCGTTTGGGGAATACCACTTGGCCGATCAAGGATGGCCCTTGATGATGCAATGGGATTGGTGGGATACTCCAATGGACCAAAGATGATAACTCAGCGAAAAAGTGATCCTCAAGCCCATGAAATCGTACCGTAGTGAGCAGAATGTACCGTAGTATGTAACAGTAGTTAAAATGGACCTTTCTTTCTAATAATTACATCTTTTGAGCAGTTGTTTTTCTGGCTCTGTGGTCGCCAGGGCCGGGCGCTAGTTGGCTGAGCCAACCTCTTTCTCTCCCCACTCCCAGTTGCAAAAAGAAACGGACCGCTGTGCTAGGAGGAATGGCAGCACCGGCACAATAGCTGCAAATAGTCTCGGCCAAGCCTTGGCGCCATGACTCGACTCATTCGGGAGGCAACTGCTTTGGGCTTTCGTTGCTCGAGCAGGAATCTGGCTTGCATCATCTTACCACCCTAACTAAGGCCAACACGAGGAACCACAAATACTTGACTTGCCCATTCTCCTTTGCCAAAGTACGAACAAACACTCAAGTACACGGACTGGCATCCATGGTCTTGATTGAGTTTTAAACATTGGGTTGATGTACGGCACTGTCCTCAGGCCCGGAAGTTGCTGACGGTGATACAATATGTTCTGTCAACTTATCATCTAGCGTTAGAATGAATGAATGAATGAATGAATGCATCCATCAATCAATCAGAGCTTAAAACTACTGGCATTTTCCTGTCTGGTTTGAAGGCACACCTTGATCCGCCTCTTGAATCTGGCATTGGCAGCTGCCACACTGGGAGAAAGATAGACATTGTCCAGTCGTCCCAACACGGAACAACACCCAATCTCAAATGCCTCCTTGACATCCTTTGGCAGGAATGGTCTTCCCATGGATTGCAGCAAATTAAAGAACATGCTCGTGTGGAAATGCCGGAGTTTCTTTAGTTTCATGGGATAGACACCCCCCAGTTCCACCCAAAATTTTTGGAACAAGCTCAACTTGAAATTCTTGGTCCAACAAAAGCCTCCACATTCTGCCAGCAGTACCACTCCCTGTCGCATGGATTCAAAGTCTGGATTGGTTGCCTGAAAGACAACATAGCAAGCGACCAGCACGACCGCTGTCATGTCTTCGGACGACGACGACGACTCCACAATACTCCTGTATAACTTGGTCAAATCACTGGCAAAGACATGGTTGCCCAGAGAAGCCTGGTAGGAAACGGAGAGCAGTAATCCTGGAAACAAATCCATGCATCGTTGAATGGCATCTTGTCCATGCGCCTCCACACAACTACTGACACAATCATATTCCTGTCGGAACGCTTGCAGTTTGTATATTCGTTCCAGCGCCTCTTCGATGTTGTCTTGATCGATCAAGGCAACTTGGACAATCTCAAAATCGGAAAGAAACCGTAAACCATAGTAGTGGTGATTATTTCGTCTGTTGCTGCTCTTGCATCCATATACGTAGTACTCACTCTTGCTCTGTAGCTCTTGCATTATCGAATACCGGTACAGCCCACTGCTAGCTTGCCTAGCTAGAACTACTACCTTGACCGAACCGCAAGATGAACAATGTCAACGAACCAGCCGTTGCAGTACAACCACCACGGAGAGGCATAGACCCAGATGGCCAAGGACCTGCGCAACAAGATTCGGATATGAATAATGTGGACCATCATCATCCACATGTTGTAGTCGAACTGCCACCGCTACTCCGCAGTCTACTACCACAAACCAGTATGCTACGCCCCGATGCCAGCCGCATGACCTTGTCCGACACGGAGCGCCAATGGGCATTGGCCATCAAAGAAGCCGTATTGGAAGATCCCGAATTGGAGCCT